TCGTTTTTTTAAAGCGTGTCAAGGTGTGTTGGTGCTGTTCGAAGCCCTGCGAAGTGGCCGCACCATTTGACGGTTCACGGAGGCTTCAGAGACATGGATGCATGTTGTTATTATAGATCCATGCATGGATGTACAGTGCCTTGCGAAAGTATTCGGCCCCGTTGAACCTTTCAACATTTCGCCACATTTCAGGCTTCAAACAAAGATATAAAATTTTAATTTTTTGTCATGAATCAACAACAAGTGGGACACAATCGTGAAGTGGAACGAAATTTATTGGATAAATTAAACTTTTTTAACAAATAATGCAATATTATTCGGCCCCTTTACTTTCAGTGCAGCAAACTCAGTCCAGAAGTTCAGTGAGGATCTTTGAATGATCCAATGTTGTCCTAAATGACTGATGATGATAAATAGAATGCACCTGTGTGTAATCAAGTCTCCGTATAAATGCACCTGCTCTTTGATAGTCTCAGGGTTCTGTTTAAAGCGCAGAGAGAACCATGAAGACAAAGGAACACACCAGGCAGGTCCGAGATACTGTTGTGGAGAAGTTTAAAGCCGGATTTGGATACAAAAAGATTTCCCAAGCTTTAAACATCTCAAGGAGCACTGTGCAAACAATTATATTGAAATGGAAGGAGTATCAGACCACTGCAAATCTACCAAGACCCGGCCGTCCCTCCAAACTTTCATCTCAAACAAGGAGAAGACTGATCAGAGATGCAGCCAAGAGGCCCATGATAACTCTGGATGAACTGCAGATAACTACAGCTGAGGTGGGAGAGTCTGTCCATAGGACAACAATCAGTCTTGCACTGCACAAATCTAGCCTTTATGAAAGAGTGGCCATTTCTCAAAGATATCCATAAAAAGTCTCTTAAAGTTTGCCACAAGCCACCTGGGAGACACACCAAACATGTGGAAGAAGGTGCTCTGGTCAGATGAAACCAAAATCAAACTTTTTGGCCACAATGCAAAAGGATATGTTTGGCGTAAAAGCAACACAGCTCATCACCCTGAACACACCATCCCCACCTCAGCTGTAGTTATCTGCAGTTCATCCAGAGTGATCATGGACCTCTTGGCTGCATCTCTGATCAGTCTTCTCCTTGTTTGAGATGAAAGTTTGGAGGGACGGCCGGGTCTTGGTAGATTTGCAGTGGTCTGATACTCCTTCCATTTTAATATAATTGCTTGCACAGTGCTCCTTGAGATGTTTAAAGCTTGGGAAATCTTTTTGTATCCAAATCCGCCTTTAAACTTCTCCACAACAGTATCTCGGACCTGCCTGGTGGGTTCCTTTGTCTTCATGGTTCTCTCTGTGCTTTAAACAGAACCCTGAGACTATCAAAGAGCAGGTGCATTTATACGGAGACTTGATTACACACAGGAGCATTCTATTTATCATCATCAGTCATTTAGGACAACATTGGATCATTCAAAGATCCTCACTGAACTTCTGGACTGAGTTTGCTGCACTGAAAGTAAAGGGGCCGAATAATAATGCACGTCCCACTTTTCAGTGTTTTATTTGTTAAAAAAGTTTAAATTATCCAATACATTTCGTTCCACTTCATGATTGTGTCACACTTGTTGATTCATGACAAAAAATTAAAATTTTATATCTTTATGTTTGAAGCCTGAAATGTGGCGAAATGTTGAAAGGTTCAAGGGGGCCGAATACTTTCGCAAGGCACTGTAGCTCAGAGAGTGCATCGCTTTGAGACCTGCGGCTGTAACCATCAGTCTCTGTGTGAGTGATGTGGAGCAGTTCTGTACCTAATTATAGCTAATCTTCTTATGAAATACTTTAATTAAACCTTTGTTTCATAAAGTCTATCTTATCTTTGGGGAAATCCGACACGTCAATGCTGCGTGTGACGTGGAACATGTTTGCTGCGTCAATTTGCATATAAAGGTGTCCCATTTCTTAGGAGAATATCAACAAGTGTACTTCCCTATTGGAGGGCACTTTTCTGTTGAAGGAGTGTTATCAGAATTGGGACTTGCCCAAAGTCTAGGTTCAGGTGAGGACGGTAAAAGAGAATCACAAAAGATAATCAAACCCAGAGAGAACCCATTTGTCTGGGTCCGTGAAGTTAGGGTCAGGGTATGGTCCTTGTTCAGATCCTGGTCCTGTTCCTGGTCTTCCTCCACCTCCAGGTCCCAGTCTTGGTACAAATCCAGTACCAGGTCTCAGCCCAGGTCCTGACCTCGGTCCATGACTAGGCCCAGGTCCTGATCTTGGTCCAGGTTCTGGTCCTGGACACTCCATCTCATACGTTCTTCTGTGTTTTGCTGACGTCTCATTGGTGATGTGGATTAAAGCCTCTGTGCGTAACTCTGCTCTGATTGGCTGCAGTGTGGAACTACAACATTCACACAAAGAAACTGAAATCTGGAAAAGAGAGGACAGAGAAGACGAGGAGATAAGAGACAAGGATGGGATTGAGGAGACAAGGAGAGGCCAGAGGAGACTGGGAGAGAAGGGCAGAGGAGAGGATATGAGAACAGAAGAAACAGGGACAGAGGAGACGAGGACATATGGGCGTCGGGCGATACATCACAATATTGTTGTCAGCCATGAGTGTTTCCTATCAGTCAATATTCATAATTTGTTTCTTTAAACCTAAATAAATACATTTGTCTTGTTCCCAGACTTTGTAAGGAAATAACCGTGTAAAGTTTGCAGACCGCATCGTTCTGAGTCATGTCAGACTTTTAAAATCCAAAATATTGCCAAAATGATGACGTGACCTTTCTTTTTCCTTCTATCTACAATTTCAATTAGAGCAGCAGCAATCGAATATTTTAGTAATCAAGTATTCTATCAAATGGTGGACGAGCCACTGTGGCTGCGTAGGTCCAACGTAACCGCAAACATAACCAGCGCCGCATGAGTATACATTAGGCTTTACTTCTATCTGCTGATAATGGACAAGTGGCAGTGTTGGTTCTACTGGACCTCAGCGCTGCATTTGACACAATGGACCACAGCATTCGGTGGAGAATGAAATGTACATAGGTCTCAGAGGAACAGCCCTTGTCTGGCTTAAATCTTATTTATCTGATTGGTATCACTTTGTCAACATGAATCAAAACTCGTTGCCTTATTTTAGAGTGGAATTCGGTGTGCCACAAGGATTGGTACTCGGACTGATTCCTTTCATACTGTACATGCTGCCGTTAGGAAAGATCATTAAAAAGCATGGTATTAGATTTCCACTGCTATGCAGGTGACACAGCTTTACCTGTCAATGAAACCAAATCAGATGTATCAGTTGAAAAGGCTTTGTGCTGAATAAAAGACCTAAAAACGTGGATGACTTTTAACTTTCTACTGCTTAACCTGGAGAAAACAGAAAGAGTCCAAAGAGTCTTCGACTCTCAACGTCAGCGTAATACCCAGGAAAACTTGGAGGAATCTTGGAGTCATATTCGACAAAGAACTCTCCTTCAAGACTTATAACAAAGCAACTAAAATGGCAAACTTCCACTTGTGTAACATAATCAGGAATATCCTTCTTAAAAGTGACGTGGAAAAATTTGTCTCCTCAAGAGTTACTTAAAGGACAACTCACCCTCAAATCCACTTTTTTTTGCTGATAAACGGTATAAATGAGTGTCCAATAGTGTTGTCTACATATCCTGGTCATAATCTTGTCACTTTGGTGCAAATTAGTTGAAAGTTAGACTTTCTGCCTAAAACCGTCTGTGAGGCGCCATCTGCTGGCGACCTGTATTACTACATTTGAATTTTGAATCTGGCGCCAACACTGGCACAGAAGTTGGACCTGACGTCAGCAGCGCCCCGCCCAGAGCAATGTAAACGGCCCAGTCTCGTTCACGCCCCCTTTAGTCCTCCAGGCTACGCCCATTTAGAGGAAGATTTGAACAGGAAATGTGAGTAACGTAAGCTCCGAGGAGCGGGGGTGAGAACCTTAACTACTGTAACTCTTTGGTGGCAGGGTGCCCTAAAACCTCTGAAGAGCTTTCAGCTCGTTCAAAATACAGCGGCAAAAGGTACCAAAAGGAGGGAGCACATAACTGTCGTTGAAATCACTCCACTGGTTTCCTGTGGAGTACAGAATAAAACAGTACAATTGCATTTATCTTTTCTTGTTGCATGTCCCAGAATACCTTGCGGTTCATGCTCGGGCGTGATAGGTCGAGACGCCTCTGCCTACTTCCCCCAGATTGCCATGCATTTCTGGCTTGTCTTTTCTTCCTGTTTTTTTTCCTAACCAAGTTAAGTGAGATTATCAAACAAACATTCTATCAACCCCATTTTCTATTGATTTATATGGATCACATGTCTATTGGGAAATATATCATTCTTTTATCGTCCAGCCCTCCGAGGACAGATGAAATGAAAAGAGGACAGAAGAGATGAAACAAGGAGAGGACAGAGGAGACATGTGAGGGGAAGCCCAAAAGTAACGCTTTACTAACCCCAAAGCACCCAGGTTATCAGGGTACAAACGAGGGGTTGGGGACCACTTGGGTCAAACTGAACTAATGCTAGAGATGGACAAGAACGTTCACAAACACTTCCGCCGTGACACTTTATTTTTTATAAAACACAGGTTTTGTTTGTACAGGTCAAGAGTCGAAAAGTCAAAACGCAAAAAGCCGAATAACGAACAACAGAATAATGTCCAGGACTTCACACAATTCACCAAACTACTTACGCTTTCAGAAACACGTCAGAAAAACCCTTTATACACAGCACAAGTCACATGATGCACAAGAACAAAGTGATGGCCATTTTGAGTCACACAGGCGGCCCTTTTGAGTCAGACATAATTTACAAGCTTCAAACACTGCAGAAAAAAAAACAAATCATCATGATCAGACATTAGCTCGCGGCCAACTAAAACAAAGACACTGCGGAACATTTGGCAAAAACATAATCAAGACTTCATCAGACACAGAATTCAAAAATCACACAGGGGGAGGGCATCAGGAGTGTCTGTACAGCAGAAAGGGCATCAGGCTTAGCCCAGGCTAATTTTGACCTTGCGCGATCCGATTGGTCGGTCATTGAGCTCGCTAACGGCGGCGCTGGCTTCATCGGCACTACTGAAGGCAACCATGGCCTCTCCGGTCTTCAGGCCTTTGTCGTTAAACTGTAGACACACGGATCCCGGGACGACGGCATAACCGTAGAAGAAGTCCATGATCTCATCCGCTGTCACAGTAAACGGCATGTTCTGCAGCTTCACCACCGTGGGGCCGCCGCCATTAGCATTAGCTGCGGGGGGTGGGGCGTTGCGCATAGCAGGGTCAGGGGGAAAGGAAGGGCTAGGGGCGTTGTTGCCGTGATTACGGTTTAGACCGTCGTCAAAGGGGGCGGGGCCTCGAGGCTCATGTCCAAAATGAGCTCCACCCCTAAAGGGCGAGTCAAGGGGGGGCAGCACAAGAGGGGGTGGGGCCATGTGTGTCGGGGGTGGAGCTAAGCCATTCCCCGGAGAAGAAAAGGGCGGGGCGAAGGGGGCGGGGCTTCTCAGGAAGGCAAAGTCATCAGAGAGGGCATGGCCAAAGGCTGGGGGAGGAGCCATGTGTGCAGGGGGCGGGCCCATGGGCGCCGTGGGCGGGGCTCTGGGGTTAGTGGGCAGGGCCAGTCTTGTCCCCCTCTTGTTCTGAGGCGGCGGATTCTTCTCCACGTCCTTCATGTGCTCGTAGGTTACCAGGTGCACAAAGGCGTCTCGTCCATTTAATTTCTGCCGGTGCAGGCGCTCTGCTTTACGAGCGTCGTCCTCTGAACGCAGCTGCACCACGGCCTGCCCAAGCCCGTTCCCCTGGCCGTCTGTGAGCACCTGCAGCGTGTCCTCTACGAGTCCCACACCCTCCAGGAAGCCGCGCACGTCTTTGCGCGTGACGTTGTAGGGAATGTTGGTAATGTGCACGCAGGTCTTGGGCGCACGTGTGTTCTTGTTGTCGTTCTCGCGTTTACGGATCTGTTCAATCTTGTCGATCATACCGCGGCGGCTGATGGGGTGCACTTGGATGAAACGCGCCCCCATGTACTGCATATGCGCAGCTAGTGCCATCTTGTGGTCGTGCTCCGAGTGGAACTCGACGAAGCCCTCGCCCGTGGCCTTGCCATTGGGTGCGTAGGCGATGTAGAGGCTGTCGTCCACCATGCGCAGGCCTTTGAAGAATTCTTTGATCATGTTAGAGTCCACCTCGTATGGCAGGCCTTTGAGGAACACACACAGCTCCGGAGCGCCGTGTGGAGAGCGAGACCGCGCCCTCTGCTCCTCCCTCCTTCGCTCTGGCTCCGCCCCGTCCCACTGCCGCTGGGAGGCAGGCACTATCTCCACGTATCGCGAGCCTAAAGTGCCGCCCCCCTGCTTCAATGCTGTGTAACTGTCCTGCGGCGACAAGAAACGCACAAGGGCTCGTCCTGTACCCCGCCCACCCGAGTCCCTGACCAAACGCACACTCTCCACGCCACCTAAGCCCCGCCCCCTCAGGAAGTCTGACACCTCTCCCTCGGAGAACACCCCTGGCAGGTTCTGCACGCAAAGCACAAGATCGTCAGGGGTCAGGGGAGTCACGGGGGGCAGGAGGGGCGAGGACAAAGGGGGAGGAGCCATAGGAAACAAGAGAGGGTTAGCTCCGCCCATAGGAGGCGGGAGGGCAGGGTTAAAGGGAGGGAGCAGGTGGGACATGGGTGAGGGCATCTGGGGGAGTGCAGAAAGGGACGGAGTCAGTGAGGTCAGTGAGGCCAGTGTGGGGGCAGGGTTAAAGCTGGGGGCAGAACTGAAGCTAGAGGCAGGGTTAAAGCTGGGAGCAGAGCTGAAGCTAGGGGCAGGGTTAAAGCTGGGGGTGGAGCTAAAACTGTGGGCGGGGCTAAAACTCTGGGCAGAGCTAAAACCAGGAGCGGCGCTGAAGCTCTGGGGGAAGGCGGCGGCCATGTTGGCGGACATGTTAGCAGCCATGTTCGCGGCCATGTTGGGAGTTGCTTTGGTTTCCTGCGGGTTGGGGTTGGGCCGTTGTGCTGCAGTGGGTGGTGCTGCAGTGCGAGTGGGCGTGGCCTCTGAGGGGGCGGGGTCGAATCGGCGGCGGCTCAGCTCGATGGTGTTTTGCATCTCGGTCTTGGAGCTCAGCAGCAGAGACACCTTAGCGCCCTTGATAGCTCCACCTGCGCGCATCATGCCCACACGGGCGTCTTCATCCGTGGCGAACACAATGAACGCCTCGCCACGCTCACCGCCCACAATGTGCACGCCGCCATCCGGAATGGTTAGGCCGCTGAAGAAGTGGCGGATGTCCATGGTACCGGCGACCATCGGCAAACCCTGCAGCCGGATCACCACGGCCATGAGGTCAGCGTACGGTCAGAAAGCTACAGGAAAAACAAGAGCCAATCACAGCAGAGTCACAGCAGTTCACAGCCAATCATACAAGGCCAAACACCTCCAGACCTGAGCTCCGCCTCAGCAACCGTTCTCGCTGCTTTAGCTCTTCTACCTTCTTCACTCAATCAGTTATATCAGCTCTTGTATCTGCTTTACTTCAGTTGTGTCCAATTCTAACAGGTCTATCGGCTTCTACGTGTTGTGGACCTGTGACTGTTGTGGGCGGAGCTCGGGTCTGAAGTCTACAACAAGTGCAGACGACTAAAGCATGCACATTTACTTATGATCAATCAGAGGCTGAGCTGGGAGGGGCTTGTCTGCATTGTGTCTGTGTGTGTGTGGAGTTAGACCAATCAGGAGCCAGGAAGAAAGACTGCTCAACCAATCAGGTTCCTTGTACAAACATGTGGTCTGAAACACATTCTCACCATGACAACAGACTTAGCTTACAGTAAGAGACTCTCTCCAATCAGCAAACATCAGACAAAACCAGGCCAATTTCCCTGGTTAGGTGCGACCCAACCAATCAAGACAGTGGAGACCAATTAAGACCAATCCAAAACCAATTTAGACTAGCCCAGTCCAAACCATGCCAATCCACACAAAACAATACCAATCCAGACTGAACCAGGCCAACCCCGCCCAATATAGACAATTCCTGGCCCATACCAGACCAAAACACCACTAGATCAGACGGTCAGTCAGTCCTGCACTTATCTGCAAGACTCAGGTAGACACTTATATATGTTTGTGATTTCTCGAAAAAAAACAACAACTCAGGAGCCACAACTGCTTCAAACATCAGCAAAACATTAGCGTAGCCAGAGTACACAGCAGCCACGTAACACAGCATTTGACACACTAGAGCTATAGCCACATTAGCCTTAGCCACGCTAGCTTTAGTCACCATTTTATATTAATATTTATTATTTATTTGTTCCATATGGACAAGGTATTAATGAGCATGTATGCCGGATTATAGACACAAATATACTTGTCACTGCAAACACACACAAGACAGCACCAACACCAGGAGTCCAGTGGTCACATTGGTCCAGAAGTTAACCACCAGCATTAGGGATGGCTGTCCATCAGGACCAGTCAAGGCCTGCACTAAAGATGCCATTCCAGACCCAAATGTGCCAGCATCAACTTCCACAAATCAACAAATGTTTGTAACCGTTTGACCAGATTCAAACAAGTCCGGACCACACCAGACCAAACCAAACCGTACCAGACCAGAGCGGACCACAGTGAACCAGACTAGACCAGTGCACGACAACAGATAAGACTCAGATCAGTCCAAGATAAAACCAACCAAATTAGACAGAAAATAACACAGTAGTAAGAAACACATTTAAACCAGGATAAATTGTGCCAAAAAGCAGAATATTACAACAACAAAAGCAAGCCAAACCATGCCAGGTCAACTAAGAATCCAAGAAAACGATAAGTAGACAATGCAGCACTGCTAAAACATATTTGAGCCAAACAAGACAATTGATAATATAAAACTGCTACAAAAACCAGGCCAAACCAAGCCAGAGTATGCCAGGGTAAATGAAGCTTCATTAAAAACACAGTACATGAGACAGCATTCTCACAAGACACAAGACTGTTTGGTTACAGAGTTATGAACAGCTCAGTAACTAAACCATGCCGTCCCGAGCCAAATAAGGCAAAAACATACAACACTGCGTCAAAGACATATTAACATGGTACTTAACAACAAAAGACACATCCAGACCAAAACCAACGAAAGCAAAGATCTAAAAGCAGAGTTTAGAACAAAGCTATGAACTGAATTGCATGAGGCCAAACTCAGACCAAACCAAGCTAAGATCTGGGAGCACAGCGAATTTGAAACAGGACCAAACACAATATGCACTGTGTTACAGACTTTAACATAGAAGATAACAGACACATTTGGACCAAAGCAGGCCAAGGAATTAAGGAGCAGACAGAATACAACAAGGCCAAACCAAGCCAAATGGGGCCAAACCCAGCAAAAGCAGACGAAAGCAGGCTATGAGTCAATTTAGATTAACCAAGCTATTAACCAAACCAAGCCAAATGGGGACGAACCCAGCAGAACCAGACCATACCAGGTTAAGATCCAAGAACAGACAGAATGTAAACAGGGTCAATAGGCCAAACCAGCAGAATGCTCATCTTCAAATCAACAGCAGCCTCTTCAACCAGACACAAAAGACACAGGAGGATTCCAAAAGCTCAAAGAGACAGACATCATGGTGCTGGATTTTAGATTCACCAACAGAAAACCAGAATAAGAAAACTTCAGAATCAGAGGCTTTCTGAATCAACTACTTCCTTCAAACTCACGGGACATAGTCATATCATAACAGAATTCAGAAAATACACAAAACACGTCTACTGGAGAGCATGATTTCCAGGACAACCGTCCTTTGACTAGGGATGTCCCAATCCGATCTTGAGATCGGGCCGCTGTGTCATGGATTATGACTGATCGGGAATCGGCTAATCTGCCTGACGACTTGCCCAATCTTTACAGCAGTTGTCGTGAGGTTGCAGTTTACGGTAACTGCGCACACAATCATTTCAAACTCAGTTGCGGTAAAATTTCAGTGTTCATGTGGCTACTTGTTAAACATGTCAAAAGCGGGGCAGTGTTTCCCATTAGAAAAACGAGGACAACACAAAAACAACATGCGAAGAATGCAACATGTTGCTAGGGAGAGGTGGGAGCAGCCGAGACACATTCAACATGACAAATCTGAGGCATTTGATGACTAAACATGAAACAGAGCATACAGCGTAGTATTGTTATTGTGAGTTGGGGTTACACTACTTTACAATTCGGTAGTGATGGGCAGATGAAGCTCTGTAACACAAAAAGGCTTTCTTTGCCACATTGTTTCGAATGTGTCAGAGCCTCTGAGCTCAGACAGGTTGTGACGCAGACATCTAGTGAAAAATGTAATAATCTGAATCTTCTGAATAATTGAGTGCACAGCAAACACTGCACCACTTATAATAATGACTTTTTTACCATGTATCTGTATATTATATATATATATATATATATATATATATATATATATATTCGGTTGAAAAGGATACAAAAATGTTGATATCATTTATATAGGATATACATTTTGATGTAATTTATAAATAATATAAATGATCCAAGAAAACTCAAAATATTGAGTTTACTTGCTAAAAAAAATTGTTTTATAATTTACAATACCAATGATTGGATTGGGCAAAAAATAGTGTTCACAACATCTCTTCAGCTGTCCACTGACCAATCACAATAGCTCTTCAGCTGACCTATGACCAATCAAAACAGCTCTGCTGCGGTTTCCTCCGGTTTCCCCTACTACTAAAAACAGGCACATTAGGAAAAATTTTCCAGCTTTAGTAAGCCTGACAAAGCTGAGCATCAACATCTGGAGATTGGTTCCCGGGCACTGGACTAAGGCGACCACTGCTCGTGATGTCAGCCTTAAGCCTAGTTTATACTCGCGCGGTGCGGAGCTTATGGAGGTGACGTGACGTCACTTGCGCAACGCGTTGGTCATCGCAAGGCCCTTACGTTGCCTGCCGCGCAGCATCGAAATTTTCTAACTACGTAAGGGGGGCCGCAAGGAAGCTCCGCTGTGATTGGTCCCTGTGTGTGTATTGGAAGGAAGCACGGAGCGGCTGCAGGAGCATGGACAAGGCACTATGGAGCAGACTGCTTCACGCTTCGAAGGAACCAAAGGAAAAGTAGTTTGGGCTCATGGCAGAGCCTGATATACGCGGAGACTGTGGACTAGAGTTCTGTTGCAAATCTAACATATAACTTTTAAACTGTGCAGTCGTTTGTTTTGCACTGTTCCTGTCTTTGTTTGAATCTGCACTCGTAGCTTATCGCGTCTGTTCCATTCCTCCTGCACTTGTTGTTTGTGATGAATACAATTCAATAATAACTATGTTTCCAACAAGAACTGTGTCTTTATTCCCAAAATCACAGTTAAATGAGTTAAGAAATAATTAGTCCATAGAACTATCACATAAACCTACAGTAGAAACACATGTAATGATCACAAACAGCTCGGTTTGTTCATGTTTTTGTTCTGAGGAGGAGAAAGTAGCAGCGTAAATGAGACCGCTTTGGTATCTCAAGCAACTCCTGTGAGATCGCCATCGTGTGGTTGGTTGTGCGATTACAACATTCTCCTCAAAACTCCGCATGGAGTATAAATTAAATTGTGCTTGCGGAGGTCCACCGCAACTGCTAACGTAAGCAGCGCAGCGCAAGTATACACGAGGCTTTAGTGGCATCAGGATGGGTCAAATGCGGAGGATGAATTGCTCTACGGGAGTTAATAAAGGGCACCTTTAATCACATCTCTTCAACTGTCCTCTGACCAATTAAAACAGCTCTTCAACTGTCCTCTGACCAATCAAAACATCTCTTCAACTGTCCTCTGACCAATCAAAACAGCTCTTCAACTGTCCTCTGACCAATCAAAACAGCTCTTCAACTGTCCTCTGACCAATCAAAACAGCTCTTCAACTGCCCTCTGACCAATCAAAACAGCTCTTCAACTGTCCTCTGACCAATCACAGCAGCTCTGCAACAGTCTTTTGACCAATCCCTCGTTCTGCCCTGGGGATTCATCATTCTGGTTCACATGGGACAAAACAATAGTCGAAGATCCAGAGCAGATCTGAGGTCCTCCAGAGCACACTTGGGGATAGTCCTTTGCTCCTGACAGGTGTAACCCACAAACACTGGAGAACGGGTCAAAGCAGTAAGATGTTGTAGTTTAGGCCCAACGGAGCATCTTCACCGACTGAAACTGCTCAGGCTTGATCAGAATAGGACTGAGACACGACGTGACGCAGAGAGTAAGGGCCAGAGTAAAAACTGGGTGTTGTGAGTTTAGTGATTATAAGCCTATGTAATTATTGTAAAATATTTCAAACCAAGTCGAGTTTACTGATGGAAGTACTAAGATTTTACGAATATTCACGAATATTGAACAGGTATTTCAATGGCTTCATTACCACTAGAATATCACAGGAACTTTTGACTACAGAAAAACAATCCGCATTTAGAATAATCTATTTCAACACACATGTTAACACTTTATGATGCCCCTGCTCCAACCAGAGAGCAGGGGCATCATAGAGATTTATAAGGAAATCCCATCATTCTGAAAGAGTTTCCGCCTAAACTGTTAGCTTTAGCCCCGTTAGCTTTAGCCCCGTTACTCCCTTTCTGCTCCCGTTTCCTAATTCTTGTGCGTTAGTTCGGGGATGAATGATGCGTGCACACGTCCAGCGTCCGCGCCGGTCCCCCGCGCACACACTCACCGAGAAAAGATTCTTAAAGTCCGGCTCTAGTGCGGGGTTTCGGTGCTGCTGCTGCTGCTGCGGTCCTGCTAGGTACAGGCACAAAATGTCGGGCCTTGACGTCACCACAATGCACCGACAGCCCATGCGACAGCGACAACCTCACTCAAGAGAAAATAAATCTCAGAAAAAATTATAACTACAACTACGATAAATGAGGTGATAGCAATAATTGTTTATTATTTGATCACAGAAAAAGTCAGAATTGGACAAGGTTTCTTTGGCAGTCTGACACACTCATGTCATGTTATAGATAAGCAGTCACAGACCTGCAGTTTTGTATAGCTATCTACACTAATATAAGGAATATCCCCCACCCTAGTGGCTAATCCACTCATCCATCCATTTCTACTAAAGTCTCTGAAGAAATTATGTCACATTCTAAAACATGGGATGCCTTTAATTAACACGTTTGTATGAAATGGAAAAACCAAAAGGAAACAAAGTCAGAGAAACTACAATCGCATGTTTCTAAAGCAAACAAGAGTATACAAGAGTTACACATGGCTCTTGACAGCGTTGTCATTTCCCAGGGCAGGTGCTGATGAGGTCACAACCTCAAGTTTGTGCGTGAAGCGGGACAGCGGCGAACATCACCCCCAACTACACCAAGGCATCTAATTGGTCAATCCTTATACGCTTAATATCTGGATTTTCAAATAAATATCAGAATATAAACACCAGAATAACAGAGAGCGCAAAACCACGGATTTAAGCCCATAATGGTGTCACACAAACGATTAATGAGCTAGAAGAGTTTACTTTTACATGTCAATAGGAAAGTTTGGTTTAAACTTGGAACCAAACTTAACCATAAGCTAGCGGGTTAGCATTGTTTATCTGTATACAGTCTATGGTGTGACCTTAACGCACTTAGAAAGTTCATTCTACGCTTGTTTTCGGTCTTCTTTGCAGTGATAAACAGGATACGCCACTTTGACACGCCCACACCACTTCATGCTGATTACAGTAGAGCTATTGGATGGATCCTGCTGGAGGCGCTTGGTGTACATTGGGGCTGATGCTGTTTCTGTGTCGGAGACTTCTGCCTGAACTCTGCGACACATTATAACTGCACAGGGGCAGGGATTCAGCGGGCCAGCCTCCTGATTGGTGCAGAATTCTAGTGCTGCGTCCACTTGATGCTTTTGATGTCAATTCCATCCTGAACCATCTCCCACAGAGGACTGAAACAAAGCAGAGTAATATTTCACATCCCACAAGAGAGAGGACTGACGACAGAAGAGAGAGAAAGAGAACACAGGAGTGGGGAGGGAGGAGAGAAGGGAGATGATAGGGAACTCATTGTACCTCATCTCTCGGAGCCTCAGCACATGCTGCACACACTTCTGAGCCGTGTAGTCCACCTCCTCCTCCGTAGTGAAGCGACCGAGGCCAAACCTGGAGGACACATGAGACAGGTGTAACAGCAGCAGTAGTATTAGTAACAGCAGTAGCAGTACCTGATAGAGGAGTGGGCCAGGTCCTCATCGGCTCCAATTGCTCTCAGGACGTACGACGGCTCCAGAGACGCAGATGTACAAGCACTGAAACACATCACCCCTGTGTTAAAGACCTCACATTACACCTTGATGCTCCTTGTGTAAAACTGAAAGTATGAGAAGCAGTTTCTCCTGCAATGCTCTTTGTAAATGGAGCTCAGCCTGATGACATCACACATCTCACCTTCCAGAGGACAGAGCCACGTCCTTCAGCGCCATCAGCAGAGACTCTCCCTCCACGTAGGCAAAAGACAGGTTCACACATCCTGAGGAGGACATAAGGACAATGTCACAGGGAAAATAGTATTAGTAACAGCAGCAGTAGTTGAATTACCTGGGTATCTATGAATGGCGTCTCCATTCAGAATAACATCTGAGATCTGGGAGGTGATTGTCTGAATCAATCTGTGAGCAAGCGCCGACACCCTCTGGTGGTCATACTGCAAACATACAATCATTATTTAGTGTTCATTCAAATGTATTCCTGTATAGCCAAAGCCTCAGAGGTTTCACTCTCTTACCTCCATCTCTTCCTGGGCCACCCGACAGGCCTCCCCCAGTCCCACAGCAAGGGGAGTGGGCACAGTCCCCGAGCGAAGGCCCCTTTCCTGCCCTCCCCCACTCTGCAGAGGCTCCAGACGAACACGAGGTCTTCTGCGGACGAAGAGAGCTCCCACACCTGAGGATGGACCAGATCATGAGACCAGACCAGGGAGAGACCAGGGAGAGACCAGGGAGAGACCTTTGGGGCCGTAGATCTTATGTCCGCTGATGGACATCAGGTCGATGTTCAGGTCGGTGACATTCAGAGGGATTTTCCCCACAGCCTGAGCCGCATCTGTGTGGAAGAACACTCCCCGTGACCGGCAGAGGCGACCTGAAGGGGAAAGGGGGAGAGAGGGTGAGAGGAGACACGGTGGGAAGGGAGGGTGAGAGGAGACCTGAGGGGGAAAGTGGCGTGAGGAGATCTGAGGAGGAGAGAGAAGACCTGGGAAGAAGGGAGACCTGTAGACGGGGTGGCCTCCATCATGAGAGGATGCTGACCTTCTGTCCAAACACCCTCAGGGAAAAGCTCAGCGGTAACCAAGAACCTGAGTGTTACCAAATAATGACACCCAGTGAGTGACTGGGTGTCTACATGACTGATTGGACAGTTCAAACTCACCAATGTCTCCAATTGGCTGCTTGACTCCGATCTCGTTGTTGATCGTCATGATGGAGACGAGAGACGTGTCCGAGCGAATAGACTTCTCCAGGAGCTGAAACAGAAGTACTTTAAGTAGCAGTAGAGGTTGGCAGTAGCGACAGCAGCAGTTGTGGTAGTAGTCACAGTAGTAGTGGCAGAAGTAGCGACAGCAGCAGTTGTAGTAGTAGTCACAGTAGTAGTGGCAGTAGTACCTCCAGGTCCACCAGTCCATTGCTCATCACTGGCAGATAGGTGACGTCGAAACCCTCGGACTCTAGGACCCTGCAGGAGTCCAGCACACACTTGTGTTCTGTCTGTGTGGTGATCACATGACGCTTCCGCTGACCGTAGAAGCGAGCCACGCCCTGAAAGCACCATAGTATTTCAAATACCAGAGTATTTCTAAATACCAGAGTACTTCAAACACAGAGGACTTTGAAAACTGTAAACACCTCTGTGACCTCTGACCTCCTGTAAATACCTTGACAGCTGTGTTGTTTGACTCTGTGGCTCCGGAGGTGAACACAATCTCTCTGGGATCAGCTCCGATCAGGTCTGCCACCTGCTGCTCACACAAGGAATTACACACATAATGAGTTGACGAGGGCAGGCACTACACGTGCTTTAGGAGATGCTGTAGTACCACACATATCCTCTGTGTGGTGCTGCAGTACCACATGTCCTCTGCGTGATGTTGTAATGCCACACATAATAATAAGTTTCTTGACACTCAAGGTCGCCTTACATACAAATGAATTGAATTAAAAAACTTAAGATACAGGTTACAATACAGTTAAAAGCAGCATGAACATAGGATTCTGTGGTAATAATGTCAGGGAGAAGGGTTTGGGTCGGTGTTTCGGAAGTCGGTGGGTAGTGTTGTAGAGCTGCAGAGCGACTGAAGGCTCTACCCCCCATGGTGATGAGGCGGGCAGGAGGGACCAGGAACTGGAGAGAGGAGGAGGAGCGGAGGGAGCAGGCAGGTGGTGGTGACGAGGCTGTGTATGAATATTGCATTTGTGTGAGGGGAAGGAGCTTTTAACAGCTGCAGTACCTTGCGCCCCCTCTCCATGGCGCTCTCGCTCTCCCAGCCGTATGCGTGGGTTCTGGAATGAGGGTTTCCATAGAAGTTCACCTGATACGGCAACATGGCATCGAGCACACGAGGGTCCTGAAAAAGAGAGACCATAAAGAAGAGACCAGTGCAAGACCATGAAGAAGAGACCAGTAACAGCAGTAGCAGCAGCAACAGCAGTACCATGGGAGTTGTAGCCTGGAAGTCCATATACAGCGGTCGTAGCTCATCTTTCCCAAGCTCAAGTTTCTGATCTGAAAGAAAATTTTTTCAATGACTAAACACAGCGAAACAACACCAACAACCTTTACCTTTGGCCAGAGTCGCTCGCGCTCGGTTCAGACGCGCAGGGAGCCAGGAGGGCTTCAGGAGACGTGAGGCCCACATCCCTACGTGAAGGACTAGAACAGACCAGACCAGAGAGAATCAGACCAGGTCAGACCTATGAGACATAAAGACAATTTTAATAAAGTTGTGTGAAAATATTGAAATTGTAGTAGATCACAATATTGATCTGGTCTCCATCAGCCAGATACATGAGCTGCACCCCCTTGTCCCTCAGTTCTGGGTATACAGCACTGGTCCTGGGTCTACAGCTTCAGGCCTGGGTCAACAGCTTCAGGCCTGGGTCAACAGCTTCAGGCCTGGGTCAACAGCTTCAGGCCTGGGTCAACAGCTTCAGGCCTGGGTCAACAGCTTCAGGCCTGGGTCAACAGCTTCAGGCCTGGGTCAACAGCTTCAGGCCTGGGTCAACAGCTTCAGGCCTGGGTCTACAGCTTCAGGCCTGGGTCTACAGTTTCAGGCCTGGGTCTACAGCCTCAGTTCTGGGTCTACAGCACGGGTCCTGGGTCTACAGCCTCAGTCTGAGTCTACAGTCCCGGGAACCCTCTCTCCTCACCCGTTCCTCTTCCTCTCCTGCTCCCTCCTCTTCCCTCTCATAACATTTGTCTCTTCATTATGACACAGCGAAAACTCCAACGTCTAAAAACTTAAATCAGGCGTTTTGGCACAATTGTAACACTACCAGGTATTTTGGCAGCAATATAACACACAACAGACATTTTGGCACCAGTATAGCGTGTAGACTGTAGAGGACTTAAGTTCTACAGAACCACATGGTCGACAGATACAGTCCAGAAGCTGGCCATGACCAGACCTGGACCAGACCTGGACCAGACCTGGACCAGACTTGGACCAGACCTGGACCAGACCTGGACCAGACCTGGACCAGACCTGGACCAGACTTGGACCAGACTTGGACCAGTCATGGACAAGATCCGAACCATGAATCGGGAGCAGTAGTCCACCCGGTCCCACCAAGAGGAGGACTGCTGTTGTGATTTAGGGCGATACACAAATACATAAACTTCACTAGAACAGGTTAGAGGCTGAAGAGTCCAGAGTCCCGTGTCTCACCGTGTCTCTGCGTAGGTATCCGTGTGGAAGTGTCAAGGATGGTCAACAAACACACGCGCCTGCGCAGTAAGAGCCTTGACGTAACAGCCCAGGCGACCATATTTCAAAATAAAAAGCGAAAGAAACTTGATGGATGAAAGTAAAACTTACATAAAGAAGTCAACACGGTCACAGCTCTTTAGGTCATGTCAATTGGTCTATAGCCTCACTCTTGGATCTACAACCTCAGTCCCAGCCTCAGTCCTAGGTCTACAGCCTCAGTCCTGGTCACGTGTGAATGTTTACAACACAACTTTTATTGTGAAGGAGCGCAGAAGTGGCTTCCGGCTGAATTGGTTGCACAACTGAAAAAAAGTCAATCAAAAGTGAAAGAAGAGTCAGGGAAAGACGTAACATGAGTTAAAAGAAGTCACGTGACTGATATGAAATATTTATATAAATACAGGAAAATAATGCAACAAGATAAACTTACACACACGCACACAGATCATCAAGAGAGCAAGGCAAGCACCAGGAGAGCATCAGAAACTGACAGCAGATACAGAATGTCACCATCAGCAGACAGCTGATGTTTTGGCACATTAGGACCACGTAGATTCAAAGACAGGGTCTGGACCTGGTCTTTCTGGTTTCAGTCTGGTCTCAGTCTGGTCTCAGTCCGGTCTCTCTTGTTTCAGTCGGGTCTCTGGGAGCATATTTTAACAGTGTATGGACCACTGTGGATCTGCGCAGGCTTCATTCTCTAAATAGAAAAAGTCAGATCCGAAAGTTCTCTGTCAGTGACCATGGGGTACACTGTCCGGGAGTGCGGGAGAAGCGCCCGACACAGAAGTCTGAAGCTGAGTTTGATCCAGAACAGGACTCGGACCAGGGTGCTGACCCTGCACGCCGTGAACTCGCGCACTCGGTCTTGCCACGGACTTTCGAGCGGTGTCTCACGAGCACTACACCAGCTGCAGTGTGTGCGTGGGGCCACAAACACACGTAACGCGCACGCACTTATGTAGGGAAGACCAGGTCTGGCACAAAGTTGCCTATTGCTGAGTAAAGTTGGTTTTGTGGCAATATGACTTATCTTAGATAATTATAGGTCTATGGATCTTATTTTATAAAGCCATATGACTAAATAAAACCTGTATACTATGTATTAAAATCCTTTAATTAGTCTATATTGAATATGAATAGACAACAACCTCTTTGAATATGTTGTGTTTTTAGTGCAATTCACCAAATATATTCCTCAATCTACTTTAATTCACCATCTGTAAAAGACTTGAATCATGATCAGGTGAATATTGAACCAAATCATAGTTGTCTGACAGAGATCTCTCGGTCAGAGTGTTCCACGTGCCGCTCAGGGGGGTTGTGTTTTTGCCCTGACCCATGAAAAATTAGAGGGAACATTGGAGCTGAGTCTGTGGCTTTGGGGGAGTTTAAAGACTCGAACTGTCTCCTGTGGCATTGTTTAAGCCTAGAGTATAATTGCGCGGCGTGGCTTACGTTAGCGGTTGCGGTGGACCTACGTAAGCACAATTGATGTTATACTGGCGCGTTCCCCTTACGGAGTTTTGAGGAGAATGTTGTAATCCCACAACAAACCACATGAGGGCGATCACACAGGAGCGGTCACATTTACGCTGCTACTTTGTCCTCTTCAGAACAACATTAGCAAACAAAGCTGTTTGAGTTCATTACATGTGTTTCTACTGTAGGTTTATGTGATAGTTTTATGGATTCATTATTTTATAAGTCATTTCAACTGTGATTCTGTGAATAAAGACACAGTTCTTGTTGGAAACATAGTTATTATTAAATAGTTTTCAGCACAAACAGCAAAACAATAATAGTGGTAAATATCTGACATAAACGATTTACGAGTGCAGGAGGAAAGCAACAAACGCAGGAGGAAAGCAACAAACGCAGGAGGAAAGCAACAAACGCAGCTACGATACAAACAAAGACAGGAACAGTGCAAAACAAACGACTGCACAGTTTATAAGTTATATATATGTTAGATAGTCCACAGTCTCCTGTTTATCAGGCTTTGAGCCCAAACTGCTTTTCCTTCGAAGCACAAAGCTCTCTGCTCTATAGTGCCTCGTCCATGCTCCTGCTGCAGCCGCTTCATGCTTCCTTCCAATACACACACACGGACCAATCACAGCGGAGATTCCTTGCGGCGACCCTTACGTAGTTAGAAAATTTCGATGCTGCAGGGCAGGCAACGTAAGGGCCTTGCGGTGACCAACGCGTTGCGCAAGTGACGTCACGTCACCTCCGTAAGCTCCGCGCCGCGCGAGTATAAACTAGGCTTTAGCTTCTTCCTGGGCCACGTCATCAGCAGACATGACACTCAGGTTTATGTTTGTCCACACCTCAGGGGGACAGGACCCCAAACCTCCTGACCTGCAGGGGCCACAATCTGTGGACTGCTTTAAACAGCACCTCACAACACATCTTTGAGGAAGACCTCCTGCTGTTTCCTTCTGCTAATGTGCACCACCTGCTATTACCTCCTGTTGATGTGCACCTCCTGCTGATGTGCACCACCTGCTGTTATCTCCTGCTGATGTGCACCACCTGCTGTTATCTCCTGCTGATGTGCACCACCTGCTGTACCTTCTCCTGCTGATGTGCACCACCTGCTGTACCTTCTCCTGCTGATGTGCACCACCTGCTGATGTGCACCTCCTGCTGTTTCCTTCTGCTAATGTGCACCTCCTGCTGATGTGCACCCCATGCTATTACCTCCTGTTGATGTGTACCACCTGCTGATGTGCACCACCTGCTTATGTGCACCTCCTGCTGTTACCTCCTGCTGATGTGCACCTCCTGCTATTACCTCCTGTTGATGTGCACCTCCTGCTGTTACCTTCTCCTGCTGATGTGCACCACCTGCTTATGTGCACCTCCTGCTGTTTCCTTCTGCTAATGTGCACCTCCTGCTGATGTGCACCTCCTGCTGATGTGCACCTCCTGCTGTTACCTTCTCCTGCTGAAGTGCACCACCTGCTTTTATTTCCTCCTGCTGATGTGCACCTCCTGCTGTTATCTTCTCCTGCTGAAGTGCACCACCTGCTTTTATTTCCTCCTGCTGATGTGCACCTCCTGCTGTTACCTTCTCCTGCTGATGTGCACCACCTGCTTTTACTTCAACCTGCTGATGTGCACCTCCTGCTGTTACCTTCTCCTGCTGATGTGGACCACCTGCTGTTGCCTTCTCCTGCTGATGTGCACCTCCTGCTGTTACCTTCTCCTGCTGATGTGGACCACCTGCTGTTGCCTTCTCCTGCTGATGTGCACCTCCTGCTGATGTGGACCACCTGCTGTTGCCTTCTCCTGCTGATGTGGACCACCTGCTGTTGCCTTCTCCTGCTGATGTGCACCTCCTGCTGATGTGGACCACCTGCTGTTGCCTTCTCCTGCTGATGTGCACCACCGGCTTTTACTTCCTCCTGCTGAAGTGCACCTCTTGCTGTTAACTAGTGCTGATGTGCACCTCCTGCTGATGTTTATGTTTATACATGTTTGTAAAGTTTATGTAATATTGTTGACTGATGTATCACTTTGAGATATGCAGTAGTAGCAGTAGTACTAGTAGTAGCAGTAGTACTAGTAGTAGCAGTAGTACTAGTAGTAGCGTCCCTCCTCAGGGGTTGTTAGCCCCAGAGCAGGTGTGTGGCTGGTGTACTGCAGAAATCACCGGCACCTACAGCCAGAGCCCCGTTTGCCATCAGGTCGTGATCCCAGGGGGTCGGGGTACGGCCTGAAGCCCATAGTGCACCACGTGGACTAGTACTACATCAAACTATGTGGTGTAAGAAGAAAGAGGAAGCATAAACAACGAAAGAACATGACCCACTCTTCTTGTGTAACCAAAGCCAGAGATAGTTTGTGATCTTGGCCTAAAAACTCACAAATCAAGATGCACTGCTGGAAGGGTCAAAAGAAACAAGCGCAACCAAAGAGGGAGCAGGAAAAAAACACAAAGTGTTCCACTACTGTGGGACACAGAGAGCCCAGAAACAATAAAAAACTATTGCATTGTGGAAGAATTCAAATATTTGGGTCAAATTATAAAGGATGATGGTGAGCACCAAAGAGAAATAAAGCAGAAGGTCGCAGACTAGAAGAGTAGCATCTTCTATGCTCTTCTGATCTCTGGATCAGAGACATGGGTCATCATAAGGACAGTAAGCTGAGGCTGGAGGCACAAACCGAAATCCTTTTATACTGAAAAGAATAACTGATATCCACACAAGCGCTCACGTTACATCTGAAGAGCTGAGACTAAATTGCAAATGCTCTAAAATCCTGAGTAATATTGCAAAAAGAAGAATGAAATTCTGGCAAAGAATAAGGTGGAAGACTCAAGAATACAAAAAATCATTCTTGACTGGAAACAAAAAGGATTAAAAAAAAGAAGGCGGATAAAGAAAACAATGGATAAAACAAATCGAAGACGCATTAATCGACCTGATAGATCTGACAAAGGAAAACTGGACATTTCTTGAATCACTGTAGGCACATCCCTGAGCCCATTCAAAGGAGCTCAGTGAGTTCTTTTTAGCAGGTGAGGCCACTTTTTAAGAGGCCAAGTCCTGCAGTACCCGGGCCCTCTCCCTCGGGTCGCTCCCCTTCTTCTGGACCACACCCGTAAGTCCACCTGCACAGGGAAGTGAGGCGGGATTCTCTGGCAATAAGACCAGGCCAGAGTCAACCATGAGGCATAGCTTTTTTCTCACTCGATAACTCCGGGCTAGGATAAAAAATAAAATAATAAAGTAATAGTAGTAATGGTGGTGTACGACTACTACTGCTACTGCTTTTACTGCTACTACTATTGCTACTGCTACTGCTAAAGCTACTCCTTCTACTACTAGTCGCAGTAGCAGCAGTAGTAGTAGTAGTAGTAGTACACCAAACTAGTTGCAGTAGCTATTGCAACCGCAGTAAAGTGGCCCCGCTTTTCCTCGGCAGCGGTAAAGAGGTCCACAAATTGAAAGCGATTGGCCCCTTTATGCTGTTACTTACGGTAAAGGTGGAAAGGGAAGCAGTGACGACAAGCAAACAAAAAGCAATTTTTAATTAATAAATAATAATAAAATAAAAAAGAGTTTTGCGACTACTTTCACTGCACACTTGTTTACTATGATGCACTGTGCAAAAAAACCTTCAATTTTACTGTAGAAATTCAGAAATAATTGGGCTCAAAGTGTGCATAATTGGTCCCTAAAGCACTTTTTTAAAATAATTTTTAAAAAATCAAAAAAGGTACCCTGACTACTTTTACTAAACACTTGTTCACTGTGAGGCCCTCTATAAAATAACATTCACTTTTACTGTAGAAATTCAGAGATAATTGGGGTCAAAGTGTGCAATTCTGGTCAATAAAGCACTTAGTTTATAAAAATCATTTTAAAAAGGTTCCCTGACTTCTTTTACTGCACACTTGTTTACTGGGATGCCCTCTACCACTGTGCAAAAAACCATACAATTTTACTGTAGAAATTCAGAGATAATTGGGCTCAAAGTGTGCAATTTTGGTCCCTAAAGAACTTTTTTAAAATCTTTTTTTTTTTTTATCTAAAAAAGTTCCCTGACTACTATTTCTGCACACTTATTCACTGGGATGCTCTCTACTACTGTCCAAAATAATATTCACTTTTACTGTAGACCAATTATGCACTTTTTGACCCCAATTATCTCTGAATTTCTACAGTAAAAGTTAATGTTACTCTGCACAGTGGCAGAGGGCATTCCAGTGAACAGGTGTGCAGTAAAAGTAGTCAATGAACTTTTTTAGATTTTTAAAAAATTATTTTTTAAAAAGTGCTTTAGGGACTAAAATTGCACACTTTGACCGCAATTATCTCTGAATTTCTACAGTAAAATTGAATTTTTTTTTTTTTTGCACAGTGGTAGAGGGCATCACAGTAAACAAGTGTGCAGTGAAAGTAGTCGCAAAACTCTTTTAGTTTAAAAATAAAATATTTATTAAAACTTGCATTTTGTTTGCTCGTCGTCACCAAACAACGAGTTTCCACATTTACCGTAAGTAACAACAGCATAAAGGGGCCAATCGCTTTCAATGTGCGGACCTCTTTACCGCTGCCGGTGAAAAGCGGGACCACTTTACCGCGGTCTATACATAGTTCCCACAGACCAACGAATGTCACATGACCTCCTCGGAGACGCCATCTTTGATGGCACGCTGCTGTGTTTGTGCATTCCATTAAACAGAAGAATGAGAATAAATGTAGATATTCAAACGCAAATTGGAAAAAAAGGGCAACTTTTGAGCAAATAATTGTATATTAATACAATGGCACCACAGTTTAACGTGCTACGGACATGTTTTACATATTTGATCAAATTATGCAGCAAAAATTAACAAGCAATGCAAACATTTCTCAAAAACTTTAGATTTAATACCAGTTGGAGCTCCATTTAATTATTTTAATTATATTAACAATTAATTTAATTAATGCTAATGCCACACGGACACTCTGGATTGCTGTTATTGTTTATTTCCGCGTTTTTGACCGTATGTTTTGGTGAATGGTGGGCAACTGATTTTTCCAGGCGTAAAGAGCAGTTTATTTTATGACACAGATCTTTTTACAGAAGCAATGCTGTTTGTGAACATTGTTTTAGCCCACCATAGAACTATTATTATCTATTTAATACATTACGTTGCCCTCGAGAGCCTCGGACGCGACACCGATCCTCCTCATAATAAAGTAATCTAAATAATGAAACTCTCAAGTTACCAGATATCAGCATACACAAGTTAGTACTGAGTAAATTACGTCTGTCAACACATTATAAGATACGATACGCACCTGACACAAAGTGCTCCGAGCATATTCTTGCGTGTTTTGAGGGAGTTTCTTGCCTGTTTATCTTCGCAAGCCATAACCTCCGTGGTTGTTCTGACAAAAGCTTAGTCTTCTCACATTCATGAAGTCTAATGATGGGTATACTGTAAAATCCAAGTTTAACGGAACCTCCGGCACAATTTGAACATCCATTGACCCAGCAGGAGATGACCATTTTCAACTTTATCACGACATTAACACGTTTCAGCTTCTTTTTCTATTGTTTTGCCCACAGCATGCCAACACAAATGGCGCCGGGTCGGCAAATCCCCGTATGTAGTGACGTCATGTGGGAACTATGTATTGCACTGCTTACCGCATATTGTGTGCACCATGTGCACTTGTATATTGTATATAGTAATTGTAATTGTAATTTTAATCGTAATAATTATATTTTAAATGTTATAGTAAGTAAGTAAGTAAGTAAGTTTTTATTTATATACCGCCTTTTCACTGCAGATCAGAGTCTCAAAGCGGTTTACAATTGTTAATTTTGGGCATTTGTCTCTCACTCCACACAGAGATGGGAGTGGGGTCGCCAGTACAGGAGGCATATGCCAGAACTATTGTACATATTTTTAGTGGTAGGGGAAACCGGAGTACCCGGAGGAAACCTACGCAGACACGGGGAGAACATGCAAACTCCACTCAGAAAGGCCCTGGTCCGACCGGGATTCGAACCCAGGACCTTCTTGCTGAGAGGCGAGAGTGCTATCCACTCAGCCACCGTGCCGCCCACTTATACCTTAGAAGTGCATGCTAAATTTGTATTATCTTTAGGCAAGGCAAGGCAAGGCAAGTTTATATATTGCACAATTCATACACAAGGCAACTCAAAGTGCTGAACAAAACAAGAAAGCATTAAAATCATAAATAATCACAGAACATTAAAAAGAAAGATAAAAACATAAAATCCCTCAGTTGTATGCACAGCTAAACAGCACCGTTTTAACTTGGTTTTAAACATTGTCATTTAGGAGGCCTGTCTCACATCTTCAGGAAGATTGTTCCAGATTTTAGCAGCATGAATCTGAAAAGCAGCCTCCCCATGTTTAGTCCTGACTCTGGGCACTAACAGGAGTCCAGTCCCTGTGCTCCTCAGAGTCCGGGCTGGTTCATATGGGACTAACATGTCACTAATATATTTTGGTGCGAGGCCATGGAGAGACTTGTACACAAGCAGAGCTGTTTTAAAGTCTATTCTCTGAGCCACAGGAAGCCAGTGCAGGGACCTGAGGACTGGACTAATGTGGTCGTACTTCCTGGTTCTAGTCAGGACTCGAGCTGCTGCATTTTGAATGTACTGCAGCTGTTTTACAGCCTGTTTGGACAGACCTGTGAGCAGGCCATTGCAGTAGTCTAACCTACTGGAGACAAATGCATGGATAAGAATCTCCAGGTCTGCTTTAGACACTATGTTTTTGATCCTGGCAATGTTTTTTAGATGGTAAAAAGCTGCTGATGTTACTGATTTGATGTGGCTATTAAAATTTAAGTCTGAGTCCAGTATTACCCCTAGATTTCTGACCTTGTTTGAAGGTTTTAGGGAGAGAGACTGTAGGTGACAGATGACGCTCTCTCTTTGTTTCTGGGGACCAGAAACAACCTCTCTTTCTGACTGATGCACCGAGCCAAAGCAATTTCCTGGTCTGTGACTTCTTGTTATTACATGGCAATAAAAATGATTCTGATTCTGAGTAGTAGAAGTCAAAGCAGTAGTAGTAGTTAGTAGTGGCGGCTCAAACACAACAGGTCTCAGCATCACTACAGATGCGCGCTCACAGCTGTGCGCGTTCCCGCAGAAAGGGAACTATTGTGAACGCTCACGTGCACGCGACTCAGAAGAGAAAGAAAACGCTCCATCACTCCGGGACCTGTGCCAAAGCAAAGCCGAGAAACACGCGTCTCAGTCCGGGTAAAAGGACAGCAGGAGACACTGAGCCGCCTGTCCGCCTCTGCTTCCCTCTTCCCGGCACTGTCCCCAGGCACCCCGCGGTCAGAGAACCACAGCCTGGAGCTTTTACCCCGGGAGCACAAAGACTTTCCCCCGCCACACCCGCCTTCATCACGGGCACAGCGCAGTGGAGGACCGGTAACCGGATGAGGAGAGCCAAAGCCCGTGCAACAGCAGCCCACAACACCGCTATCTGACACCTAACGCTCTGGAGCTCCATTCCGGGGAGAGAAGGAGAGAGAAGCCGGGAGAGGAGCGAGGCCACCGGGTGCATAGGAGTGGAGAGTCGGGACTGAGGGAGACCAGAGACGAGAGACCAGACCTAGTCCAGACTGAAACCAGAGAGACCAGGTCCCGACCCGGTCTTTGGATCCACGTGGTCCTGATGCTGAACTGATGCGTGTGACCAGAAAGATTATGACGTCACCCCACACAGTACCTAAGTGGAGTTTGACAAGATCTCAGACTTGTTAAGTCCTGGTTCATTCCTGTTTTTGACCTGGTTCAGACCTGTTTCAGTCCTGGTTCGGACCTGGTTCAGTTCAGGTTTGGTCCCGGTTAATATCTGGTTCAGTCTTGGATCAGATCTGGATCAGACCTGGTTCAGACCTGGTTCAGTCCTGATTAAAATCGGATTCAGTCCTGGTTCGGTTCTGGTCCAGTCCAAGTTAAGACCTGGTTCAAAATGGATTGTGTCTCGGTTGAGGACTTCCTCTCTGAGGTCCAGGAGGACTGGAAATCTCCCACAACATCATCGTTTTGTGACAAAATGCCTCTGTGCAGAAACACAGTGCAGAACATTGAAGAGGTTTGAATAAAATACTACTATTACTAGTACTACTAATGCTACTACTAATATTCCAACAGGCAACCTTTTTGTAGTTTTTAATACAAAAATTAGATTTACAGGCCTCTGCGAGGCAAGTCATTTTTGTGATCACTGAGTTGGGGGCCCAGCAGCTTCTTGAAGGTTCTTTAGACTGTGCTATACAGGTTGGCTGCTTCCTGTACCACTGTCTGTCCATTATGTTTGCTGTAACTTGAAGCTTCCCTCCTCAGAGGTTGTCAGCCTCCTGTAGATATGTGTGTGGCCGGTGTACTCCAGAAGTCTCTGGCTCCTACAGCCAGAGCCCTGTTTGCCATCAGGTTGTGATCCTGCAGGGGCATGGTCTGATGCCCCTGCTGCACTACATGGAGGCTTTACACTACTACTACTACAACTACAACTACTACAACTGCTACTACTCCTATTACTACTACTACTACTACCACTACTTCTACTACTACTACTACTACTACTACTTTACTTTTCTCTCTTCAGGCTCTGGACTGTGACCTGGTTTTGTTGCAAAAAATGAAGAAAGCAGCGAAAGCAAAGTTCACCTCAGGACAAGGTACAAGCTCCTCCACTGAAGCTATTTTATTAAACCCTATTTTATTTGTATTGCTATTTGTTATTATAATAGATCCATGGGCTCTCTGGTATTACTAGCTCATAGCTGTCCCACAAATGGGCACAGGGGGCACCCGTGGTACTGCAGACTAAATTATTATTCCTAGGCTACCCAGAAAAAAGTCCCATAGAACTCTATGTAAACTAAAACAGCTCAACCTCAGCTGACAGAGAAACTACAGCTTTCATAAAGGTTGCATTTTGTGGGGATTTTCCCTTGTCATCCTGAACTTTTCTTCTTCTTAAATCCTTCAGTTTTCATTAAATCCACACTTTACTGCCACAAACTCTGCCCGTGTTTCTTCCCGCTCTGGCTTCGCTCTACCGCTGCTCTGATCAACAGCTCTGATTTGTCAAAGCACGGCCGAGCCCACTGCGCGGAAGCTGGAGGACCAGACGATACCGAAATCTGGGCGAGTTCCACTAATCTCTCTGTCCCCTGTATTCTTTTGAATAGTGCGCCATCTTGGATCACCGCAGCTTGGTTCTAAGCTCCAAGATCCAAGATGGCGCACTATTCAAATGAATGGTTTGTGCTCAGGGCGACAGTAGCTCAGTTGGTAGAGCATTGGCATTAAGGCCAGAAGGTCGTGGGTTCAATTCCCACCTCTGCACCTTCTCCACCGACTCCCACTGCTGTCGTTGTGTCCTTGGGCAAGACACTTAACCCCACTTTGCCCAAAAAGCCCCCACTGAAAGATCAAGGCTATGCTCACACTCAGAGAGCAGCTGCCCTCCTGTGGACTCACCACCTGCAGAGGGTCAGTGAGGGGCTGGTGCTATGAGACTTGGGTGGCATCTCTGATTGACACCCCCCTGACCCAGAAATTGATTAAGGGATGGATGGATGGATGGATGGGTTTGTGCTCAGTGGTTTGTGCTCTGGCCTTCTCGTTTCTGCGCAGTGGACAAACTCCCATACTGCTTTGTGCCAAACACGCGTGTGTGGCTCTCATGCATCTGACAAAACAGAACAGCTGATCAGAGCGGAGCTAGAGCGGGAGACAGATGAGCAGAGTTTGTGGCACTAAAGTGTGGATTTAAAGAAAAAAAAGTTCAGGATGACAAGGGACCCTAAAATCCCCACAAAATCCGACCTTTGTGAAAGCTGTAGGTTCTCTGTCAACTGAGGTCAAGCTGTTTGAGTGATGAGTCCTATGGGGAGTAGCCCACGTGAATTTAGTCTGGTTTAGTCTGCAGTATAGCAAGAATCCCCTGCACATGGGTCCTTCAGCTCCAAGCTAGTAATACCCTAACCAAGAAGTCCCTCTCACTATCAGAGGCCCCTCCCGCTATCCCAGGCCCCTCCAGTTATCTGAGGCCTGGTTAAAGCTCAGACTGTGTTTCCTCAGGTTAAAGCTCAGATTTTGTTTACTGAGGCTAAAGCTCAGATTGTAATTCCAGAACACGTTTGCCACATGGAGCAGTACATCGGAGCCATGCAGAAGCTCTCTGTCACCTGTCAATCAAATGGAGAGGCTGAAGTGGGAGGAGCCTTCTGCAAACTGGCCGACTTCTCCAGAGAACTGCTAGGACCCACCAAGAACCTGGTACTGGTACTTCTACTGTTTTGCTACAACTACTGCCACTACTACTCCAACTGCTGCTGTTACTACTGCTACTACTACTACTACTGCTACTGCTGTTGCTGTTACTGCTATATTACTACTTCTACTGCTACAGCTACAGCTGTTTCTGCTACCACTACTGCCTCTGCTACCGCTGTTACTGCTGCTACTGCTGCTACTGCTACTGTTGCTATTTCTAACATTTGTCTCATTATTTCAGCTCAAGTCTCTTCTTCATAACGTGAATTTCTTCCTTGAGTCTGTGGTGAAGGGCGATCTACGGGACGTCCGAGGGGTAAGGCTCGAGATCCGGGAGGGCGGGATGTGAGGGGTTGTCTCTCCTGGCCTCTCTCTGGTATTTCTCTAGTCTCTCTGTCTTGTTCCTCTCATTGTCTTTCTTTTGTCTCACTCTAGTCCCTCTCTCTGGTCCCTCTCTGGTCTTTATCTCTCTGGTCTCCCTCTGATCTTCCTGGTCTGTCTCTCTGGTCTCTCTCTTAAGCTTGTCTGTGTGTGTGTGTGTGTGTTAGGAGCTGAAGAAGCCCGTGGATCGCGCCTGGAGAGACTACGACTCCAGATTGTGAGTGTTTTAATGCTACACCACTCGTATAGTACTTATGCAGTACTCTTTTAGTTTGTATGCAGTATTTATGCAATACTTGTGCAATACTCTTGCAGTACTTTCTCAGTACTCTTAGGGCAGTGTCACATGGGTTTTTACAAATGAACTAGGCCAAGTTAATAGAAAACGGCCCGCGGTCACAAGGGTTTATTTTCTCAACCGTGCCAGAGCAACTGTGCAGTTGTAAAACGCTTCAGTTTCTCTTCCTGTTTACATTCTGCTACTGTGGCTAACAGTTCGAGCATGGATCACGTTGTTTGTATCAGAGCAACGTGAACAAGTGTGAGAAGTGTCTTTCCCCAATGTGCAGCAGCTCAGTGGGACACTCTTTCATTCGCATTCATTCATTTCTCAGCGCTTACGCTCTTTACTCTTTAAGGTGCGCCCACAAAGGTGCGCCCACAAAGACATACACACACACACACACACACACACACACACACACCCCTCACACTTGTTCACATTGCTTGCTCTGATGTAAACAACGCGATCCATGCTCAAGCTGTTAGCATTTAGCCACAGTAGCAGAATGTAAACAGGAAGAGAAACAGAAATTTAACTTGGACTACAAGGTAGTCAATGAAGGTGGTATCAGCGCCACCAGCTGGACCGAGTGTTGTACTACAGCACAGTTGGTCTGGCACGATTGAGAAAATAAACCCTTGTGACCGCGGGCCATCTTCAATTCACACCCGTGGCGACGATCCAGGCCACTTGGCCTAGTTCGTTTGTAAAAACCTATGTGATAGTACTCTTTCAGTACTTATGCAGTACTTCTACAGTACATATGCAGTACTCTTGCAGTAAGCAGGTGGAGAAGGAGAAGCGTGATCTGGCGCGTCAGTATGGGATGGTGCGAACAGAAGTCTCTGGATCTGAACTTGCAGAAGAACTTCACCACGAGAGACGATCGTTCCAACTGAGCATGTGCGAGGTACGAGTACTTCAACTGTCACTGCTACTACTACTGCTACTGCTACTGCTACTGCCACTACTACTACTACCTCTGATATACAGTATATATATATATATACTATATATATACAGTCTTTGTGATAATTTAGACACACTTGGCACCATTTTCCAGATATGGTCAAAAATTAGAAACAAGCTTACTTCTCTCTGTATCCTCCCTTCCTCTCACCCCTTCCTCGTCTGGGAAAACGGCAAACTGTAGGTCCAGAGTGTTTAGCCTCCTCAAGGTTTGGCTGAGCTCTTCTGTACAGTTTGGATAAACTTTGGAAACGTATGGAATTATCACGTTGGTCTTTCATTACTTTAATAAATCACACAAAGACACTATAAACCATCACACAAACACAGTATAATGAAAAATAGCAAAGACACAATCCATTAGGATCTTGTTGGACAGTTAGTGTCCAACAGAAAGGATTGGTGATGATCAGGACACTTTGGCATTCTACAACATGTATGGACATTTTCTTCTGTGTGTGTTTTATATTTTTCATGTGTTTTAACTGTTGATTCTCTGACCTGTGTTGGTGAATTCAATGGTTTTGTTAAGTCCTCTGAGATGACTTCTGTTGTGACCTAGGGCTATACAAGAATAAATTGTATTGTATTAGTTGTTGCAGCAAAACAGAACTGTTTTAACCTGGATTTGAACATTGTTAGAGAAGAAGCTTGTGTCACATATTAGGAAGACCATTCCAGATTTTAGCTGCATTAATCTGAATGTGAAAATGTTTCTCTGGGCACCAGCATGAGGCCAGTCCCTGTTTTTGGGCCACCAGGGTCTAGCCCCCGGGAGATTTGATCTCTATTTCCATTTCCCCTCTGCAATCGTCATGCCGTGCTGTGCCGAGGTTTAAGCGCCACATTTCTTGTAATCTTACAAAAATTTTAAGATTACAATAGTGTCAAATAAATGTCCACCCGATAAAGACAGTTATAATAAACCCGCTGTTTTGTAAGTCCAAGTCTCTCCAGACTGAAATACTGTTGCATGGTTTATATGTGCATGGTTTGTGAATAACGACTCCAACACTCGCCTCTGTTGAGACAGCAGCCAATTAGATTACATTACATTTAGATTTGCCCTTTATTGTTTTGTAACCTTTTGTTATTATTATTTATATTCCTTTCTATGAAATGACTGCTTTCATATCTTGGTTTTTGTTACCTCCCCTCACCATAGTAGAGCTGGGTCATAACTACTGCCACTGCTACTGCTACTGCTACTACTCTTACTGCACCTGTGACTGCTGTTCTCTGTGTTTCAGTACTTGATCAAAGTGAATGAGATCAAAACCAAACGAGGAGTCGACCTTCTGCAGAATCTCACTAAGCACTACCACAGCCACAACATGTAAGGAGCTACCTTCATCTGGCCTCTCTCTGGTCTCTCTCTGGTCTCTCCATCTGCTCTCTTTCTCTATGCTCCTTTTTCCTGTGTCTGCTGTATGGTCTGTGTGCTATATAAATAAACTTTCCTGTCTTCAGTTTCCTTCAGGAGTGCGTCTCCACTTCCACTCGACTCAAACTCTACATGGAGCAACTCAATTCTGTGTTATCTACGGTAGTCTTCCCTCCTACCTCCTAGTCCAACAACCTACTACTACCGTCTACTTCTACTCTTAATCCAACCTACTAATCATACCTCCCACCCCCTACATTGGTCACATGACATGTTCTTTCAGGTGAAGCAGCGACAGGAAGAGCAGAAGAAACAATTAATATCTTTGAGAGACCTGCTGAGACCAGAAGAAGACCAGGTATTGAAGCAGGGTCTGAACCAGATCTGAATCGGGTCTAAACAAGGTCTCTGTTTCAGGATCCTGCTCCCAAAGTCTTCACTCTGCAGAAAGTTGTTGGAGACAAAAACTTTGGGACTGAAAAAAGCGGCTTTCTGTACAAGAAGAGCGATGGGTGAGAGACCAGAGAGAACAGACTAGAAACCAGAGACCAGAGATCAGTGACCAGGGACTAGAGACCAAAGACCAGAGACAAGAGAGACCACAGGCAACAGAGACCAGATAGAGACCAGAGAAAACAGTGTCCAGAAAGAGAGAGACCAAAGACCAGGGACCAGAGACCAAAGAGAGCAGAGACACTATATATAAGAGAACAGGTTCACCAGAGACCAGAGAAACCAAAGAGACAGAGAGACCAGAGACCAAAAACCAGGGACCAAAGACACCAGAGAGATCAGAGACATCAGAGGCCAGAGAGACCAAAGATCAGAGACCAGAGAGAGCAGAGAGAGACTAGAGGGAGACCAGAGACCAAAAACCAGGGACCAAAGACACCAGAGAGATCAGAGACATCAGAGAGAGCAGAGAGAGACTAGAGGGAGACCAGAGACCAAAGAGGCAACAGACCAGAGAGACCAGAGACCGATCAAGGAGAGAGACCAGAAAGACAGCATTGTGTGATAATAACAGTTGTTGTTTTTTCAGCCTACGGAGAATGTGGCAGAAGAGGAAATGCTGTGTCCAAGACTGTTACCTGACTATCGCCCATGCAACGGTCAGACATACTGCCTCTGGAGGCAGAAGCGGGAACTACACTGTTTTCTTTTCACAAAACTCACTTTAGAGGGAGGAGAATGAGGAGGAAGATAAAGTGTGTTTGTCGTTTACAGACGAACAAAGCTCCGACTCGTCTTAATCTGCTCACATGTCACGTCCGACCGAGCGATGAAGACAAGAAGTGTTTCCACTTGGTCTCCAGTAAGTATGAGAACTACTACTGCTACTACTACTTCTGCTTCTACTACTGGTACTGCAAAACCTCTGTAGTGGGACTAGCTACTATAATTGCACTTCTAACGTGTACTTTGTGTACTTGTACTTCAGACAACAGGACGTACCACTTCTTGACGGAGGACGAGGCAGAATGTTTTGCGTGAGTATGTGGGCGGGGTCTGGGCTAGTGTGTGGGTGTGGTCAAGGGGGGCTAGTGTGTGGGCAGAGTCAGGGGCAGGGCTAGTGTGTGGGTGGAGTCAGGAGCTGTGTTGTTGTTTTTTACAGATGGGTGTCAGTGCTTATAAACAGTAAACAGGAAGCTCTGGATGCAGCGCTTGACGACAGTCGCCGCGGTAACGGTCTTAGCGACAGGGGCGGGGCCAGTAAGGATCTAACGAGAGCTGTCACTCAAGAAATCCGACGAATGAGAGGCAACGAGTGCTGCTGTGACTGCAGTACTCCAGGTACAAGTCAATCCAGTTTATTTATGTATCAATTCAAATAAATGTATTCTTGTATTGCCCTAAATCACAACTGTAGTTATCTCAGAGGACTTTACTGCCTTGAGACCCACCTGCCTCGGCCAGGAACCTGGACTGAGGCTGTAGACCCAGGACTGAGGCTGCTCTCTTCTCTACAGATCCGAGCTGGCTCTCCACTAACCTGGGCGTCCTCACATGTCTGCAGTGCTCTGGCGTCCACAGAGAGATGGACGAAGTAACACGAGTCAGGAGCCTGAGCCTAGACAGTCTGAGCCCCACGGATCTGCTGGTACTACTACTACTACTACTACTACTGCTACTGCTACTGCTACTGCTACTGCTCTGCGTTATCCTGCCGCTCCTCCTCCTACTCCTCCTCCTCTAATTCTTCTCTCTTTTCTCAGTTGGCTCGTAACGTTGGAAACTCTGGTTTTAACGAAGTCCTCGAAGCCAATCTCCTGAGTCCGAGTCTGAAGCCAGGTCCAGAGAGTCCCATGTGAGAGTCCCCCCCCCCACAGACCACTCTGTGCTGAATCTGTCATGTCTGAAATAACCTTCTGTCTCTGCTCTCTGATTGGCGGGGCAGGGCGAGGAGGCGGGACTTCATCCTGTGTAAATATCAGAGTCTCCAGTTTGTGCGTCGCAGTCCGACCAATCAGAGCCAACGTCTGGAGCACGCCACAAGACACGCCCACATCTACGGACTACTGCAGCTGTACGCTGAGGGGGCGGAGTTAAGCCAGCCTCTCGCCAATCACATGCAGGTACAGAGGGAGGGGGTGGGGAAACTAGATGAACAGCAGTATCATAATAATATGAATACTAATAATAATAAAACATGGAGAACAGAGAGAAAATGTTTTTGGATATATTTGTTATACGATATATACGATATTTGTGGGTTTTAGATTGGTTACTCCCTATGGACCAATACCTGTGTTCTATATATTATTTTGTCTTAACTGTCAATTCTCTGATCTGTGTTGACAATTTCAACAGTTTTGTTAAGTCCTCTGAGATGACTACTGTTGTGATTTAGGGCTGTTCAAGAATAAATGGATTTGAATTGAATTTATACGAAATAAATAACCCTGCACTACTACTCCCAAACTACTGCAAATACAAATCCAGTCTTTTTATTATTTAGCCTCAAAGAGGAGTCAGTTCAAGTTTTTTTTCAAAGGTTTTGTCACATTTGTTTCTGTTTTTTGAAGAAATTAAACTTATTCCCTTTTCTTCATTCAAAAATAAAACTACTCAGCAAAAAAGCTCTTTTGCAACATTTAGGATAAAAAAATCCTAGATTACATTAATGGTAAGTAACTTATTCCAATTCAGCTGCTCTCTCTGTAAAGTACAGTCGCAGGAGTTCTTGTATCCCAAAGTAATGCCTCACTCTCTTTTCAAACAACCGGGGTTTGTTAAGTAACCTTAAGTTTTGTTTTTAGCTGCGTATGGTGTTTACAATCTCTGGTATAAAGCCACGTTCAATGATGACAAAACGTGCCGTGTTGCCGCTGTAGGAAATTCCACGGACTCTGATGCTGCACCACCTTCTGTCATACTCTACACTCTGCGTTTTTTAGACAAGTTTGTTTCCTCCGAGCACGTTTACAGCAGTCGTTGCTGCTAGCTAAGCGGCGCCGCTGCTGTGTTGAATGAGACCATGGATCTATAATAAGCTGTCCCACTTATGGGCACAGGGGGCGCCCGTGGTACTCCAGACTAAATTCACGTCCTGAACTATTTTTCTTCTTCAATCCGTGGGTTTTCTTTAAATCCACATTTTACTGCCACAAACTCTGCTCGTTTCCTTCTCGCTCTGGCTCCACTCTAGCTCCGCTCTGATCACCAGCTCTGATTGGTCAGAGCGCGGCCGAGCCCCTCTGTGCGCGTGCATGAAAGCCACACACGCGTATTTGGTGAAATGCATCATGGGAGCTCGTCCACTGCGCAGAACCGGGAGGACCAGTCGATGCCCAGTAGGCGAGTTTTACTAATCTTTTGGTCGGCCTGTATGTCCCATGCGCTACTGAGCACAAGCCATTTATTTTCTGGCGCCGTATTCAAATGAATGGTTTGTGCAGTAGCGCATGTGCCTGCATGTGAAGGATTTAAGAAGAAAAACATTCAGGATGACAAGGGACACTAAAATCCCTACAAAATCCGACCTTTGTAAAAGCTGTAGGTTCTCTGTCAGCTGAGGTCGAGCTGTTTTAGTTTACATTGAGTTCTATGGGGAAAATTTCTGGGTAGCCTACGCGAATTTAGTCTCGTTTAGTCTGCAGTACTGCGAGAATCCCGCTAGCTTCAGCTCCAAGCTAGTAATACTCTACCCAGGTGTCTCATGGCTGGGCTTGAATGAGACACCTGCAATTTGGAGGGGCCGAGGGTGAACGGGAGGGCCGAAGGGGAACAAAAGGAGGAGGAACCGAGCGCAGTACAAAGAAGGCAAACAGGCAAAGCGGTGAAAGTGAAATAGAGCCGATGGCCCTCATTTATGAAACTTGCGTATGGCCAAATCAATAATGCATCAGTTTGTATAGCGCTTTTTGGACACTCAAAGACACTTCACATGTCATTATTCATTCACTCCTTACACAGTCTCGATAAACTACTAGTGTAGCCACAGCTGCCCTGGGGCACACTGACAGAAGCGAGGCAGCCAGTATGTGCCATCGGCCCCTCCGACCACCACTAACCATTCACACACACCAGATTCATTCTAGGCAATGGGGGTGAAGTGTCTTGCCTAAGGACACAACAGCAGTTTGGCACTTTACAGCCGCAGCCGCCCCACTGTGGCACCTGGTGTTCCAAGAGAGAACAGCAGACATCAGTGGGAGTCGGTGGAGAAGGTCCCGAGGTGGGCTCAAACCCACGACCTTCAGGCTTAAAGGCCAATGCTCTACCAACTGAGCTACTGTCGCCTCTAAAGCAGGGTATAAATGAGGCGTACGGAAGTGAGCGTATGGTACGCACAAAATATACACAGAGTCTGGAGGTGGTGTAAATGTACACCTTTCTCAACGCCTGAAATTCAAGATTTGGACTCTGGCAAAAAAGCTGCATTTCCATTGAGTATCAAATTTCAAAATTTGAATTTGCGCATCAGAAAATGTCTAATGGAAACACACAAACAAACAAGGACCCTCTTCTGTTTCTTCATTTTTAAATCTGACTTGTTTGTGTATTATTTTTATCTATATGTTTTTTGATGTGAAGCTCTTTGTGATCCTGGTCTGTGAAAGGTGTTAGAAAATACACTTTACTTACTAACTTACTTAATGTGTGACCCATCTATTGCTCTGTAATCCGTTTCAGGCCCTGCGCTGCGTAACTACACGTGGCTATATGTTTTGTCTCATTCACCTCTGGCAAAGCAACGTATTAGTTTTGTGCATAAAGCCTCAGTTTTGTGCATAAACAAAGAGTTCTACTGGATATATACTCTAAAAGCCACTCAATTCCCAGGCTTAAATGGAGAGTTGGACTAAGGTCACAAGGTATTGAAACTCCCAACAAGTGCAAATATTATGTACACACCTTATTAGCAACACAATGTATAGAAAATAAAACATATATATATATATTATCAAATGTCTCAAAAGTCTTTTGGAGAAAAAAAACTTAAAGAAAAGGAGAATAGTCCAACTCTCCATTTAAGCCTGAGAATTGAGTGGCTTTTAGAGTATATATCCAGTAGGACTCTCTTTGAAGCAATGTCTTGAGTCTGTTTCCTCCTCTTATTGTCTCTGGAATATGCTCGATGCCACAGATCTTCAGGCTGCTGCAACTTCCATGGTTGGAGTCTCTGTAGTGTAGAGCCATTGGATATTGTGGGTTTTTTGTCCTTATTGCTTGCTTGTCTGGTTGTCTAGTCTGTTTGTCTAGTCTGTTTTTCAGTTGAGACTATAGACTGTATATATTAACGGACAGAGTCACGCCTATCTCCGCCGTTCTAACTAATGGGTCAAAAAATGTGCTCTACTGGAGCAATCCAAAATGGCCGCGAGTGGTCCCGCCCACAAGAAAATTGTGAAAAAAACGCTTCTGCGCATGCGTCAGCCGGCACAGCGCCATTCATTTGAACGAGAGACTTAAAAAATTCACAGCAAGTAAACTAGAGTGGACCAAAAAAATCCACCCCCCTCAGCATTGACACACATGTGGAACGGAGCTTTGGGCCAAGAGCCAACTTTTGGTCCATCCTGTAAAGACGTTTTTGAGAGGTCTGCCAATGCTATGTGTTAGCATTGGCTAATTCTACTTCTGGGTCCACCCCCATCGGCCCGGGGTGGTATTGCAAGCATGTCAGCGCACGTCATTTTGGCCACTTTTGAGCTGGGACCCTCCCCCACTGGTTGAGACATTTGATTATATATATATTTTTTTATTTTCTATACATTGTGTTGCTAATAAGGTGTGTACATAATATTTGCACTTGTTGGGAGTTTCAATACATTCTCCAGTTTTTTAATACCTTGTGACCTTAGGCCCGCCCACTGATCATGTGACAAGCACCATTCTGTTTAAATCTGCACTGAAACACTCCTCTCAAGTATGCCCTGAAGAAGGCCAGAAGGCTGAAACACGTAGGCGTAATTTCAACCTATTTTGCCATGTGTAAATAAAGGCTTTCAAAGATTTTTGCAACTTTTGAGTGCCTCAGTCTTCTGTCTGAACTTTCAACTTTGGTCCCTCCACTGAAGAGCACCAAAAGTGAACTTTTTTCCTTATTTCATTTTGACATGCAAGAAGCACTCCAGCCCCGTCGACCGTTATTAAATCATCTTTGAATCCCATTGGATCGCGAAAAGGAACGAATCGTATTGCATCGTATCGACAGGGACTTCAGTGTATCGTTAATGTATCGAATCGCTGGTAGTGTATCAAGATGTGTATCGAATCGGCCTCAGTGATGGAGATATACATCCCTACTGCAGACGCTTCATCCAGTTAATGATGAGAGCCACCTCTGAGGCCGAGATATTCATATTTATTCATTCACTTCTAAAGTTCATGAGAGATTTTTGCAATTTATCAACAAAGTTTTGCGTATTTGTTCATTGGTAACGCAGCTCAATATAGTGTATATTTCTTTTTAAACAAACATGAACAAACTGAACTCTTCAGGGGGTCATGCCACAGGCCTTTTGAGGCTTCCATAACCCTTCCTGGCCAACTTCCATTCAGCTATGTCGTAGCTGAATGAAACGGGGCGGGAAACAGGCGGTTTCTGCGTGACTTTAATAAATACGTTCATTTTCAGCCGCAGCATTTATCAACAGTCGCTGGTGCGGATCTGGGTGTATCTCACACACCCACATAAATCCCACGTTGGATCTTGCGTATTTGGAATATGCACCAAAAATGCACACCCTTTTCTGCGGAAGTCTCATAAATGAGGGCCAATATCTCTAAAATATGAAACAGCTTATTGTTCTTACGATAATTATTGCCCACCCGTGCTCTACACTCTCAAAAACATGTCTGAGGAAAGGGACTACTTCATGATACAAGAACAAGAGACCGAAAGACCAAATATGACCAAAATAGAAATGAACTGATTTTTACAAAACTCCTGAAGAACAGGCATCAAAAGTGACTTTAATGAACTGTGAGTTAATTTTGTGTGCTCAGAACTGTGTGTGGCCGAGGTGAGGAACACAGACACACTGTTCTGCTGGTTAAACATAAATAAATGTGACTTGTGTTCAGGAGCATGGAGAGAGCGCTCTGCACCTCGCGGTGCTTCTGGCCGACAGGACATCTCTGCACATCGTTGATTTCATTGCCCAGAACTGGTGAGAAACACTTCCTCCAACAGGATAGCTTGTTTACAGTCACGCGAGAATGAGAAGCTGGAGGCTTATGTTCACAAGCACTGTGTCAATCCTGGTGTTTGTTTCAAGTTGTTTCAAGTCTCTTCGTCTTTTTGGAAATTTGACATGTGTGTCCAGAAGAAAAAGTTCAAGAATGTCCATCTCCGGCTTTTGCTGCATGCTTCTGGTCTCTGGTATCTCTGTACCAGTGGGGACGGGTTCTGGCTCAAAAAGGTCCATGAGCACGTGCGCTGACAGACTTGCAATCCCACTCCGTGCCGGTGGGGGTGGACCCAGAAAGAGAATTATCCACTACTTTTGTATGCCGTCTTCTTACCTCTCGAAAACGTCTTTACAGGATGGTCCATAAGTTGACTCTTGGCCCAAAGCTACATTCCGGATGTGTGTCAATGCTGAGGGGAGGTTTTTTTTGGACCATTCTAGTTTTGCCGCTGCTGACTTCAGGAGGCACTTGTTAAAAGAATGGGGCTGGTACCGGCTATCGCATGTGTAAATGCGTTTTTTCTTATTTTTCTGACCATTTTGAAAAATCCCCATAGAAGATAAAAATGAGAGCACAGGCGGAGAGAAATAATGAAACTAAAAATGTTAATAAATCCTATTTACAGTCTGTTCTGTACCCACCTCCTCTGCTGCGCCGTAACATCGTGTCTGCGGTGCGGGACAAACCTTGCATGGACGTACGTCACCATTGACTTTGCATTGAAACCGGACGCAACGCATGATCCGGTGTGAAAGCCCCTATAGAGATTTTGATTATGTCATATTATAATAGATCCACTGTCGGCACTAGATCATATACGGAATTGGGACGAAACCGGAAGTAACAATCCTACTTTCGATTTAGTTTTAGACTAAAAAGTCCTTAAAGAAGCTATACCCGATTTTTTTTCTAAGTAGTTCATAAAAATGCTTTTTACTACATACAAGTTGTATCATAATACATCATTTAATTGAAAACTTGAGGTAATTGATTCAGCTGTGTAAGAAATACAAGCAGTGAAAAGTGCTGAGTAGAGTCTGAGTTGGCCGCTCTTTCTCCTCCGCTCACAGAACGATCAGCGAACAGCCTGCGTCCTCTAGCCCCTACAGCGCTGCTTAACACCAGGGCTTCAACTTCAAAATTCGAATATAATTCTAAAATAAAAAATGATGAACAAAATAATTGAATAAAAAAATTTGAACAAATATTAGACAACCCTTGTAATTCGAAATGTATTTAATGACTGCAAATAAAATAGTTAGCTCCCAAAGGTTTCACCGGGACGTGCTAGGCAGGTAACAGCTAAGCTAGATAGCTGTTTCATGGTAACTTCCGGGTTTTTCGCAATCGCTTTTTGTCACATTGAAACAGTATTTTTGTCATGAAAACGGGTTGGGGTTATTTTATGGGAATGGCTGGTTAAGTTTAGGCATGAATGGGTATTTTGTTATAGTTACTTCTGCTTCTGTCCCGATTTCGTATATGTCTATGGTGCTGACCATGGCCCAGTCCCAATACCCACACTGCACCCTACACACTTCTACGAAGTGTGCATTTGTTCGAAGTGCACACCAGGGTTTGAGAGCGCAGGTTACAAGTGTGCAAAAAAGGCGGAATTGGGACAGTGCACACTGAGTGCAGGTTACGTCATCGACTCGTCAAGAGATGGTCATTTTCAGACCTAAACTTTATAAAATTTAAAGGTAACTTTGTCTGACCCTTTGGGAAACAAAATGAATTGCTTCTCACACGTTAAAATACATGTATATTAGTTGTTTTTAATTAGAGATAACTGTATAATTTTAAGTTAAATGTGGGTAACTAACTACTGTATCTGGTCAGTTTTTATACATTCTAAGATTATTGTACTAAGTGTAAAGTTTAAATTGAATGTTATATAAACGCTTGTTTTAAACAGTTAGTAAATTGTTAAAACACAATGTCCGTAATTCTTCATCAGACGTTTATGCTTGTGTTTGATGATGTTGTCTCTGTTTGATGATGTCATCACTGTGTTCCAGTGCTAACGTGGATGCGCTAACTTCCTGTGGGAACTCTGCGCTGCATTACAGCTGTTTACATGACCAGAGCGACTGCGTCAAACTGCTGCTCCGCGCTAAAGCTAATGCTAACATTAGTGAGTGATACATCTGCAGCAAATGCTAACACATTAGCAATTTCTTTAAACTTTGTTCTATTTATTTTTTTATCAGAAAATGAGTTTGGAGAAACTCCTCTGGACGTGTGCCGTCGTCTGAAGAACAGCCACTGTGAGGCTCTGGTAAGTTGCTGCAGCTGTGTGTGCAGGTGTTTAACACAGGTGTAATGTGAGGAACACAGGTGTAATGTGAGGTCTGTAACACACGGCTGATTTGTTCCGCAGATCTCTGCGTCTCACGGTGAGAGGCTGCGTCACGTCGAATATGAGTGGAGACTGAACACAGACCAGAGCAACGAGCTTTGTGACAGTGATGAGGATAGTGAGGTAACACACTCATATACATACACACAAACACACACATACACAGATATACAAATCTTGTGTCTTATGTTACAAATCACGTCTTTGTTTTCAGAGTTTCCCACTCAAACAAGACCGCGCCTCCTTCTCCTTCTCTCGTCCAATCACAACTTCTGCCTCCCTCTTCGCACCACCCCCCTCTCTGGCGATTGGCCGAAGACTAGCCATGGCAACTGCAGCCCCGCCCCTCCCACCCAGAGTCACAGGTCAGTCACATGATCAGTCCTTATATGGCTCTGTGTCTCGTCCAATCATCTGTGTGTCTATGTTTAGCCCCTCCCACTGTCAGCGAAGATGAGAATGAGGATGGTGGGGTCTTCGTCATCGTGAACAGGAAGTGCTCTCTGACTCCACCGCCTGTGGCTGTGCGCCGCAAAAGGACGTGTTCCGAGTCCAACAAACACGGTAACAACAGCTCTTCTGTCAGCTTGAGCCCTGTCCAGTTAAACGGCTATTCTGTCAGCTCTCACTGTGCTCCTCCTCAGACCCTCGCGCCCCCCCGAGGACTCAGCGTGGCCCCCCCTCCTCACGTTCACAGTCAGTTCTGCTCTATTCTTTTTTTTTTTTACTTTTTCTCTTGAATCAAATGTGTCTAATGTGTTTCCTGTGTGTGCTCAGGACGTGTGCCGCTACTGACACTCACAGAGGTCAGTCTCACTAACTCAGCTCTATACTCCTCTACTCTGTACTACGGATTTTTAAGGCCTGTTTAGCATTTTAGTTTAGCATTAAGTCGTGGGTTTACATTGAGCTAGTAGGTTAGCGTTGAGCTATTATTGAGTTGACAGGTTAGCAATGAGCGAGCGGGTTATTATTGTCTATACACAGCTCCACTGGAGAGCTGCATCACTCATAACACATCTTTTCTAAACTAGTAATATTGCTTCTTTTCTGCAGGAGTCCGTCGTGCCGACAGCGATGTTACATTTTCGTCTACTCAGAGTCCGTGTGACAGGACAACAGCTAATCATAGGTCTCAGAGTCTGGAGAGTGACAGCCGAGGCCCCGCCCCCCAGCCGAGGCCACGTACCTCATTGGTCAGTCATTTGTGTGGCACCTAAAGACACAGGGAGAACACCATGGATCTATAATAATGAGTTATGTAACTCAAGCCGCCAAGGTTAAGCTAGAGGCTTTTTGTGTAAAGTTATTCTCCATGAATGCAGCTCTGCAGCGTCTCTGTGTCCAGAGACTTTATGTAACAGCAGTATGTGTTCACGGAGCTGCGCCATGAGTTTATTTTTTTTATTGAACCGTACTTCCGCATTGGTGAAGACGTTAGCAACACTTGTTTACCGTCACGGGAGAATGAGAACTCAGGCTGGAGGCATATGTTCACAAACGCTGTGTCCCCCATTGTCAGTCCTAGTTTAATCCTGGTTTAGTCCTGGTTTAGCTCCTGTTTTGGCTGTTTCCAAGTGTTTTCGTCTTCTTGTTCTAACCGGCTTGTGTCCCTGTGACCCCTTTGCGGCTTTCTGATTAGTTCCTGGACGTGTGGCCAGCAGAAAAAGTTTTACATTTTCATCTCCTGCTTTCGGCGCATGCATCAAAAAAAAAAAAAAAAAAACGTAAGCGAGGACCAGGGGAGCCCTCGTGACGGGACGGCACTTGTGGGGTATACTCTTGATTGACAGCTGGAACAAGTGGAAGCCCCTTTGTTTGTCGGCCCTGTCTATTGAAGATTCGGAAGACATATATATCTTTGGAATTCTGGTGGTGGGGATCCTCCTTTTCGGGTTTGGAGCGGTCCTTTTCTACCGCAAATTTGGAGGCATGGCAGGTCATAAGATTCACGACCTGCTGGCCAACAAAATTGATGGGATGTACAAGGAGTTGAGCCGTGTTTGGGTTGAGAGTGCCGTGACAGGACAGAGGAGAGTTGTGCTAGTGGAACAGTTGCTTAAAGACCTCGCAACACGCTTGCTCGAAGGACATAAGACACTAGAAATGAGGCTGAATGACATTGTCTGCCACACGTGAACGCTCTGACCCGGCATGGATAAGCCGCTGTGTACGGAGGTTCTGAGGGCGCCGCAATTCGGCTTATTGGATTTATAGTATATCTGCCTTGCTTTTGACCGCTACATTGCATATAAATTGTCCCTCTCAAGACGATGTGTTTTCCCTTTTGCTGTGGCTGTCTCCTCTCCACTCTTATCTCACATTCCTCTGGCGAAGGCCATTGGTAAACTGGTCCATTCTACAACAGCACTTCACTTGCAGCTCCAGCAGGGATCCCCCTCACCCCGCCTCCCTCTACCTCTCCATCTTCTCTCCCTCCCTCCCTCTCACTCCCTATTATCCTTCCGGCTTACCCTCTCCCTCACCCTGCCCTCCCCTCTGATAGCCATATTGGCCGGCAGTCGGAGGTGCTCATCACAAGAAAAAAATCTGTGTTTTATACAAAGCAACTGAACTGTATGTTTTTGCTCTCTGCTGTTTCTTGCTTGCACACAGTGCCGCAAATGGCGAAGTGGCACGCTCTCTGCCAAAACAATTTCCAAATGGTAACTTTTGTTTGTTACTTACGTGGCAATAAAAATGATTCTGAATAAGTCGCCGTACCCACCGTCTCTGCCGTGCTGCAACACCGGGTCTCCCGCACAGGACAAACCTGCGTGCCGCGACGCACATGCAATTCCTAACAAGAACGGACGTCACCATTGAGTCTGCAATGAAACTCGACACAACGCATTATCCGGTGTGAACGCCGCTATAAATGTCGGATTTTGAGGGGATTTTAGGGTCTATTGTCATCCTGAACTTTTTTCCTTGTTAAATCCATCAGGTTCTTTTTTTAATCTACACCTTAGTGCAACAAACTCTGCTCATTTTCTTCCTGCTATAGCTCCGCTCTGATCAGCAGTGCTTGATTGGTCAAAACCCTGGCGTGCAGAGGAGTACGCCTGCAGAGGATTTCACGTGCTTGTTAGTATTTGGCGCAAAGCATCATGAGAGGTCGTCCACGGCGCAGAACCAGGAGGACCAGATGCGTGCCCAAATATGGGCGAGTTATCTTTCGGCGCCCATGGTCGCTTCATGCACCACTGAGCTCAAGCCATTGATTTGGCTTGAGCTCAGTGGTGCACACAAACACACACGTACGCACACACACACACAGTCCCTCACTGATGCAGCTTTGGCCAAAGTATAAAAACGTTTAAAAAGTCTAAAATTACAGAAATTGGTGATGTTAATCATTTGTTTTATTGTTTTCAGGTTGGAGGGGGCGGGGTCAGATCCAGAAGAGGCGGGGCCAGTGTCTCCAGGGTGACGCCTCCACCTGTTTCCACAGTGATGGAGCGTGCAGTTGCCATGTACGACTGTGAAGCTGATCACGAAGATGAGCTGAGCTTTAAAGAAGGAGAAACTTTAGTGATAGAAGAGAGGCTGGACCAGGACTGGTGGGTAAGTACTGCTACTGCTACTGCTGCTACCGTTACTGTTACTGCTTCATCTGTCTATTGTGTTTTCAGGTGGGACATGTGGAGAACTCTCCGGAGCTCAGAGGACTTTTTCCTGCAGCGTTTGTCCAACTACTCTGAGACGTCGACCGAGACCCGGACCCGGACCAGCACAAGCATCAACACTGGACGAGTCCAGTCCAGGACCGGACAATTCCAGGACACAGGGTGGTTTCAGAATGACGAGTAATTGACTACATGGTGCTGTCTGGACCAATCAGGGGTACGCAGCAGGACACATGGTGCTATCTAGACCAATCAGAGGCCATGGAACACGTCACATGGTTCCGTTTTCTTGTCTTGTTTTTTTGTTTGCTGCATGTGAACGTAAAATAAACATTTGGATAAAATGTTTATGGTTTACTTATGTTAACTATACCAGAGAGAGGCCAGAGAGAGACTAGAGAAACCAGAAAGATACAGTGCCTTGCGAAAGTATTCGGCCCCCTTGAACCTTTCAACATTTCACCACATTTCAGGCTTCAAACATAAAGATATAAAAATTAAATTTTTTGTCAACAATCAACAACAAGTGGGACACAATCGTGAAGTGGAACAAAATTTATTGGATAATTTAAACTTTAACAAATTATTATTCGGCCCCCTTGCGCTAATACTTTGTAGCGCCACCTTTTGCTGCAATTACAGCTGCAAGTCGCTTGGGGTATGTCTCTATCAGTTTTGCACATCGAGAGACTGGAATTCTTGCCCATTCTTCCTTGCAAAACAGCTCGAGCTCAGTGAGGTTGGATGGAGAGCGTTTGTGAACAGCAGTCTTCAGCTCTTTCCACAGATTCTCGATTGGATTCAGGTCTGGACTTTGACTTGGCCATTCTAACACCTGGATACGTCTATTTGTGAACCATTCCATTGTAGATTTGGCTTTATGTTTTGGATCATTGTCCTGTTGGAAGATAAATCTCCGTCCCAGTCTCAGGTCTTTTGCAGACTCCAACAGGTTTTCTTCCAGAATGGTCCTGTATTTGGCTCCATCCATCTTCCCATCAATTTTAGCCATCTTCCCTGTCCCTGCTGAAGAAAAGCAGGCCCAAACCATGATGCTGCCACCACCATGTTTGACAGTGGGGATGGTGTGTTCAGGGTAATGAGCTGTGTTGCTTTTACGCCAAACATATCGTTTTGCATTGAGGCCAAAAAGTTCGATTTTGGTTTAATCTGACCAGAGCACCTTCTTCCACATGTTTGGTGTGTCTCCCAGGTGGCTTGTGGCAAACTTTAAACGAGACTTTTTATGGATATCTTTGAGAAATGGCTTTCTTCTTGCCACTCTTCCATAAAGGCCAGATTTGTGCAGTGCACGACTGATTGTTGTCCTATGGACAGACTCTCCCACCTCAGCTATAGTTACTGTATCTGCAGTTCATCCAGAGTGATCATGGGCCTCTTGGCTGCATCTCTGATCAGTCTTCTCCTTGTTTGAGAGGAAAGTTTGGAGGGACGGCCGGGTCTTGGTAGATTTGTAGATTTGCAGTGGTCTGATACTCCTTCCATTTCAATATAATTGCTTGCACAGTGCTCCTTGAGATGTTTAAAGCTTGGGAAATCTTTTTGTATCCAAATCCGGCTTTAAACTTCTCCACAACAGTATCTCGGACCTGCCTGGTGTGTTCCTTTGTCTTCATGGTTCTCTCTGCGCTTTAAACAGAACCCTGAGACTATCAAAGAGCAGGTGCATTTATACGGAGACTTGATTACACACAGGTGCATTCTATTTATCATCATCAGTCATTTAGGACAACATTGGATCATTCAAAGATCCTCACTGAACTTCTGGAGTGAGTTTGCTGCACTGAAAGTAAAGGGGCCGAATAATATTGCACGCCCCACTTCTCAGTTTTTTATTTGTTAAAAAAGTTTAAATTATTCAATACATTTCGTTCCACTTCACGATTGTGTCCCACTTGTTGTTGATTCATGACAAAAAAAATTTTAATTTTATATCTTTATGTTTGAAGCCTGAATACTTTTGCAAGGCACTGTATTGGTCCAGACCATAGACGTCGTCACGCCTATCTCCGCTGTTTTAACTAATGGGCCAAACATGTCACTCCCGTATTCGTCCCGGAAACCGGATTCGTCCCGGAAACCGGATTCGTCCGGAAGTTCAGTTTGATCCAATGAGCATACGCAGCAGTAGATTACGTCACGGAATCTGGACGGAAGCGGAAGTAAATATAAACAACTACCTATTCATGCCTAAACTTAACCAGCCATTCCCATAAAATAACCCCAACCCAGCCTTAACCCTAAACTCAACCATCTTACTTAGACACCTAAACTTAAAGGAACAATATGTAAAAATCTGGCCAAAAGTGGTACTGCAGTCACAGTCAATATTTTGTAGTCCTCTCCCACTCTCCCTGACTCAGGTTGCCAGATTCACACCAAATCCAGCAATTATTTTATCAGTTGTTTGTCCGTCTCCATTCACATTGCCATGACAGCCGTGCTAATGCTGAATGAATGTTTTGATTCATGTTTTTTTATTATTATTTGGAAATTTGAGATAAAAAACAAAAACAAAATAAAAGCAATATAATTATACATAGTTTATGCAAAATACATAAGCAATTGATGTCCAAAATAGGAGTGGGAAGAATGGATGTTGGAACGTATTTCTTCAGCGTATCAACATCAGGGTTTGCTCAAGAGGATATCACCTTTCAATTTTATTTATTCGCTATTTTTTAGACAAACATGTAAAAGTCCCACATCAAAAAGAGACTAACATTATTTTAATTGGGGTACATGTGGTCTTAAATTATTATTTTTACAATTAAGCTATAATCTGCAAAAAAACGTCTTGACCTTCGTCTTTTACCGTTTTTAGAGCAATCTGTCATAGAATGTGATAACATGCAATAAATACAAAAAAAATTAGCTCGAAATCGAACCCGTGTTCCTGCATCGTAAGCGCACAGTTTAGACCACTAGACCACCGATTCACAGTTAGAGTCACTGTGAAGAACGGACTCAAACTAGCAAATTCTGCATCACACGTAAACTTTTATCAGCTGTCTCAATTGTTCAAAGGCGTCCCGATATAAATCCTCGTTTTAGTCTTCGTTTTGTCATTAATGATTTGAGAGTCATAACAAGACCTTTTTTAGTTCTGCGCCACATGTTATTTTACCTCTGAGATTAATGAGCCGCACGGAGTTCTGGCAACCCGATCACGGACTTACATGACACTTCCTGATTGGCGAAACGGCGGAGGGCAGGACATCAAAATCAAAACAATAACAACTTTTACGGGTCGTAAAACTAATTTTGATATTCAAATATCTCGGATGAACTACTGTTATCAGTTAAAGATGTGTTTGAAAAGAACATGATTTATTAATGCCTTTTGAAATATTCGGGTCATTTAATGATGACTTGACATGAAAATATTACATATTGCTCCCTTAACCAGTCACCACTTAAGGACGTATTACACTTTTTGACATGTGCAAACTGAACTTTGGGACGAATCCGGTTTCCGGGACGAATACGGGAGTGACAAACATTTTGCTCTACTGGAGCTATCCAAAATGGCCGCGAGTGGTCCCGCCCTCAAGTAAATTGTTAAAAAACGCATCTGCGCATGCGTCAGCCACGCAGAACGAGTGCCTTCAAAAATTCACAGCGGCTGTGGAACGAGCTTTGGGCCTGTCACTCCCGTATTCGTCCCGGAAACCGGATTCGTCCGGAAGTTCAGTTTGATCCAATGAGCATACGCAGCAGTAGATTACGTCACGGAATCTGGACGGAAGCGGTAGTAAATATAACAAACTACCTATTCATGCCTAAACTTAACCAGCCATTCCCATAAAATAACCCCAACCCAGCCTTAACCCTAACCTTAACCATCTTAATCAGACGCCTAACCTTAACCAGTCTCCACTTAAGGACATATTAAATTTATTGACATGCGCAAACTGAACTTCCTGACGAATCCGGTTTCCGGGACGAATACGGGAGTGACAGGGCCAAGAGCCAACTTTTGGACCATCCTGGTTTTCGAGAGGTCAGCTAATGCTATATGTTAGCTAGCTAACCTTAGCTAACATATAGTTGATCCCATCTTTACCAACTGTATTTACAATTACTCGCTGCCGAACGGAACGTTTCAAGAGATCCTTTGTTCCTTCACCTGTCCGACTGTACAACATGTACAACTGGATGTGTCTTCTGCTGCTGGACACCTGAATTTCTCCTACAGGGGATGAATAAAGTATCTATCAATCTATTTACTAAAGAGAGGGACCATACAGAGACCTGAGAGAGATACCAGAGAGAGACCAGAAGGGGACCAGAGAGAGAGAGACCAGAAAGAGGCCAGAGAGAGACCAGCTGGGGTTCCTCATGGGTCAATCATGGGTTCGGTTCTCTTCTCATTTTTGACAAATCAAACTCCAGTTGTGGATATGAAACTTTATTTCCGGACCCTGCACTCCAAACTTGGTCAGAAGAAAGACATTTTGGCACAGATGAACACAGGAAAACAACACCATTAAAAAAAAGTGGCTTGAGAACAAGTGCTCATGACAGGTAGAGTGGCGCCCTCTGCAGGCTCACGCTCAGGTCACAGGAGTTACTATGTGCCTCTTTGGGCTGAGCGCTGTAAAAAGTCCAGAAACATAAATACATAACGACAAGTGGAGATAAAATGAAGACAGCCACACCCCGAGTTAAAGATGAGGTACGTAACTTTAGTCTAATCATAAGACCTTTCTACTTCAAATGACAGTTAGATAACATGGTATCTTTTGTAAAAGAAAGAGCCCTGTGAGTCACTATTTGCCTCTTTGGGCTGAGAGTGAGGGTGGTGCCCTGTTTCTCACTTTTCTGTCTGAAAGAGCTGATCTTTAAAATGTGACAAAAAGTATATGATGTGAAAACTATTGATAAAAGGAAACCATTTCCAGGGTTTATGCCAGAGACAGAGTTCTCCTGGTTTGGTCTGAAAGTTACAGACTCCAGCTTTAAAGCTTCAGTCTGAAAGCACTTATCAAACTACTGATCCTTTTCATCAGAGCTGTTAGAACCAATCGAATTTCAGTGCAATCAGAGTGGCTCCTCCCACAGCTCCAAATACGGCCTTACACAATAATCATGAAAAGAGAAACAGGGCGCCTTTTGATCAGCCTATACTGACATGTGATTGGCTGCAGTGGCTCATACTGACGTGTGATTGGCTGCAGTGGCTAATACTGTCACATGATTGGCTGCAGTAGCTCATACTGACGCGTGATTGGCCTTTAATTCAAAGTGCTCGGGTTTTAAAACACATTAAAATATTTACAGTCAATGATTAAAACGCAACCCCAGATTAGAAGCCGATGGAGGGAGCAGCAGGTCTCCTCCGAGCTCCACACACAGAGAAGCCTCTTGTTGACTGCTCCTCCAGCTAGTCCTTTGGGTCCTTCCCCATATAAAGCTCTGAGTGCAGACGCTGCTCCCTCTACACTGCTCTTACACTGACACAGATGAGGGTGGGGAGCTCTGAGTGCAGACGCTACTCCTTCTGCAGTTGTCTTCACATTTGATGGAGAAAAGTCATTTAAAAATGTGAAAAGAATTTGGTTTGAGATGTGTTTGATCTACGGGCACTAGTACAAACCCGGTCCTGGTCCAGACCCGATACTGGTCTCAGAGGTACAGCCTGATCTTCCCCTCCTCGCTGAGTTTCTTCAGAACCTGAATCTCGAAGTCCGCGCTGTGGACTCCAGTTTTACGGAACGCTCCCGAAAACCGGTTCTGCTCCCAGTAGTGATGCCAATTCCCCTCCGAGTCCGCCCCGAAGCCGAAGACCGAGACCTGGGTACAGAAGACCGAGACTATGACCAGAGTGGACCAGAGAGCGAACAGAGTGAGACTAGAGATCAAAGAGATACCAAAGTGAGACCAGGGACGCTGGCTGTACCTGGTCGCACACGTGCAGGGCGAACACCACAGCCGTTAGACCAGTCGATGGGTACCTCCCATGGTTCTGGGTCCAGGACTCATGGACGTATCTGAAGAAGTCCGGACTCAAAACGAGGACCAGGTCTGGATCTGCAGAGACCCGCTCCTTCACGCGCATGTAGGTCCTGGCCAATCAGAAAGAGGTACCATCAGAGAGAGACCAAAGGATCAGACCAGAGAGAGATTAGAGAGAGACCAGAAAGAGAGCAAGACCATAAAGCAGGGGTCACAAACCTTTTCATATCTGAGAGTTACCTCAAGATGACCAAATGGCTGTTATAAATGAAATTATTTATATGGGCAGATCGGTCAAAAATAGGAAATTGTATAATCTTAGTCTTTTAGTTTTTTTTTTATTAATTAGCATTTTAAACATCTTCTAATAATCAAAGGGGGGTGTTATCGATACTCTTATTTTATGGTCATTATTGCTAATTCTGGTTAAACTTGAGGTAAACTCAACTACCACTGAGGAATTAGCTCTGATCAAATTCATGTCACTAGTTCCTGGCTATTAAACAGTGTAGTTCACTTTCCACATGTGTAGTATCATTCGTGATCCTAACGGGCGACTTTGCATAGGGCTGGTTACCTCTGACAAGAGAGCAGAGAGAGACCAATCTGACACACACACACACTCACGTGGTGATGTCGCCCGTGGACAGAGCGCTGCGCAGCCACTCCAGGTCTCTGATCTTGAAGGGCACTAGGACCATGTGGACTCCAGGATTGAGGTCCACCGCGCTCTCCGGGTACATGAAGTGATGCGTGCTGCGGTTCCCCACGTCCTGAACAAAACCTGTTGTCTGCGCCCGGTTCATCCTGAGGAGAGAGGGCGAGTGAGAGGAGAGAGAGACCAGAGAGAAACCAGAGCAAGACTAGAGAGAGGGACTAGAGCGAGCGATCATCAGCAAGAGATATTTTATATATTTTTACCTCTAAATTTCAGATTATTTACAGTGCCTTGCGAAAGTATTCGGCCCCCTTGAACCTTTCAACATTTCGCCACATTTCAGGCTTCAAACATAAAGATATAAAAAATATTTTTATTGTCAAGAATCAACAACAAGTGGGACACAATCGTGAAGTGGAACGAAATTTATTGGATAATTTAAACTTTTTTAACAAATAAAAAACTGAAAAGTGGGGCGTGCAATATTATTCGGCCCCCTTGCGCTAATACTTTGTAGCGCCGCCTTTTGCTGCAATTACAGCTGCAAGTCGCTTGGGGTATGTCTCTATCAGTTTTGCACATCGAGAGACTGGAATTCTTTCCCATTCTTCCTTGCAAAACAGCTCGAGCTCAGTGAGGTTGGATGGAGAGCGTTTGTGAACAGCAGTCTTCAGCTCTTTCCACAGATTCTCGATTGGATTCAGGTCTGGACTTTGACTTGGCCATTCTAACACCTGGATACGTCTATTTGTGAACCATTCCATTGTAGATTTGGCTTTATGTTTTGGATCATTGTCCTGTTGGAAGATAAATCTCCGTCCCAGTCTCAGGTCTTTTGCAGACTCCAACAGGTTTTCTTTCAGAATGGTCCTGTATTTGGCTCCATCCATCTTCCCATCAATTTTAGCCATCTTCCCTGTCCCTGCTGAAGAAAAGCAGGCCCAAACCATGATGCTGCCACCACCATGTTTGACAGTGGGGATGGTGTGTTCAGGGTGATGAGCTGTGTTGCTTTTACGCCAAACATATCGTTTTGCATTGTGGCCAAAAAGTTCGATTTTGGTTTCATCTGACCAGAGCACCTTCTTCCACATGTTTGGTGTGTCTCCCAGGTGGCTTGTGGAAAACTTTAAACGAGACTTTTTATGGATATCTTTGAGAAATGGCTTCCTTCTTGCCACTCTTCCATAAAGGCCAGATTTGTGCAGTGCACGACTGATTGTTGTCCTATGGACAGACTCTCCCACCTCAGCTGTAGTTATCTGCAGTTCATCCAGAGTGATCATGGGCCTCTTGTCTGCATCTCTGATTAGTCTTCTCCTTGTTTGAGATGAAAGTTGGGAGGGACGGCCGGGTCTTGGTAGATTTGCAGTGGTCTGATACTCCTTCCATTTCAATATAATTGTTTGCACAGTGCTCCTTGAGATGTTCAAAGCTTGGGAAATCTTTTTGTATCCAAATCCGGCTTTAAACTTCTCCACAACAGTATCTCGGACCTGCCTGGTGTGTTCCTTTGTCTTCATGGTTCTCTCTGCGCTTTAAACAGAACCCTGAGACTATCAAAGAGCAGGTGCATTTATACGGAGACTTGATTACACACAGGAGCATTCTATTTATCATCATCAGTCATTTAGGACAACATTGGATCATTCAAAGATCCTCACTGAACTTCTGGAGTGAGTTTACTGCACTGAAAGTAAAGGGGCCGAATAATATTGCACGCCCCACTTTTCAGTTTTTTATTTGTTTTAAATTATCCAATAAATTATGTTCCACTTCACAATTGTGTCCCACTTGTTGTTGATTTATGACAAAAAAATAAAATTTTATATCTTTATGTTTGAAGCCTGAAATGTGGCAAAATGTTGAAAGGTTCAAGGGGGCCGAATACTTTCGCAAGGCACTGTATCTGTCTTTTGTCTGTTACTGTTTATTTATTTAGTGCTGTGTTCTTCTCATTCCTACTGTTCTGTAACCAGTGATGAAACATGAAATTTCCCCATTGTGGGACGAATAAAGAATCTCTTAATCTTATATTTGTCTGAGTGGAGCATTGAGGCGAACGTCACTTGGGAGCAGCTGAGAGTGTTGTTAAGTGCGATTGTGCTGTTTTCAGTGTTTATCGCCGTTATCATGTTCAAACACATTTCCTTTACAGACAACAGTTTGCCGGCTGCATCCTATACATTATATGAATATATATATATATATATATATATATATATATATATATATATATATAAACAGTGATGGGAATAACGGCGTTACTAACGCCGTTACTTTTTTCAGTAACGAGTAATCTAACTAATTACTTTGACAGTAACTATAACGCCGTTATCATTTCCGACATCCCGTTACTGCGCGTTACTCAAGACGCACAATGAACGTGTTGTCATGAGAGAAGGGAGGATGAGAAAACCTCTCAGCAATTATTGGCTGATATAAATCATATTTCCTTTACAATCCACATGTCTACAGTTGAGAGGATGACTCATAAATTGTGTTTTTGAAACAAATATGGGTCTTAATCGCGCTCAACCACGGCTTGTATCACCGTGAGGCCAGCCACAGAGGAGCGCATGTGAGCGCAGAAGTCGGCTGCATACAATTCCATCGATAAGCTCCTTGCTCTTCCTGGTTTATCTGCTAAGGACAGCAACAGGTTTGGCTAACATACATATAACACATTTTTACATAATCTAAAATTCACATAGGGTATTTTTTCAATTACTATAGGAATGATAAGAAAGAGAGGTGAAGTGTAAGACGGTTGATTTTAGAAATTGGATGCACTCGGCTGCCGCTGGCAAAACACAGGAGTTTATGGAGGACACACGCGTTTTGTTTTACTTTTTAAAACTCATTGGACTCATTTCCAAATGGAGGATTACATATCTACGCTCAAACCATTAACTGGATTTAATCAAGGAACTGGTCTGAACCGAAGTGGACTGTGCAGGTCATTTATAAGGTAAGACCCATAACTCATAGTTTTGCGTTTTGTATGAACAAACAATGCAGGCATAAAACATATTTTGCTGTAGCCAAACAAATTGTCCACTTGATTTATATGATGTATATGTTCATCTGATTGGACTGAAGTCAGTGCTTTCACCAGCCTCACCGCTCGTCACCGGTGTTTCCACATTCACAGTGGCGGGTGTTGGTGTTTAGTGCTTACAGCACAGAGAGAGATGAAGAGTGAACAGGACTTCAGCAGCAAAACAGCCTTTTCTAGATGGAAATATTGGCACTGTTAAAGGTAAAAATGCGCACGTCGGGTGCACATTATGTTCCAGAACAAAACGAAAAAGTAACGCAATAGTTACTTTTACTGGTAACTAGTTACTTTTATAGTGGAGTAACTCCGTTAGTAACTCAGTTACTTTTTGGGAGAAGTGACTAGTAACTATAACTAATTACTTTTTCAAAGTAACGTGCCCAACACTGTATATAAATAATGTATATATATATATATATACACATATACACACACATTTTCTTTTTTTTCTTTTTTTTACAACAAAATTGTGTATTTTTTGCACTTAATCACAGCTTAAAAAAATCACTAAGTGAGGCAAACAGTGACCTGGATTCAAGGTAGGGGCAAACATTAGCCCAGGTTTGGCTGCATTCACCAAGGCCACGCGGTGCAGGACTCAAGCTGCAGAGCGAGGACAGACAGGACTGAGGCAGCTCAGAGGCGGGAGGAAGTGCAGCCCACCTGTTTGTTTAAACTTTTCAATCAATCAATCAAAGTTTATTTGTAGAGCGCCTTTCATACACAGGGCAACACAAAGCGCTTCACAGTCCACATCACAAATCACATAAAACAAACACCAGAATCACAATTAAAACATTAAAATCACACAAAAGATTAAAACACAATTAAAACATTAAAATCACACAAAAGATTAAAACACATTTAAAACATTAAAATCACACAAAAGAATAAAACCATTAAAACTTTCAAAATTACACAAGAAATTTAAAAAAATAAATAAATAAATGACAGCAGTGCATTAGAAATGGAGATAAAATCCTTCAGTTGTATGCACAGGCAAACAGAACAGTCTTTAACCTGGATTTGAACATTGACAGAGTAGACGCCTCCCTCACATTTTCAGGGAGATTGTTCCAGATCTTAGCTGCATGGATCTGAAACGCAGCCTCCCCATGTTTGGTTCTCACTCTGGGCACCAGCAGGAGGCCAGTCCCTGTGCTCCTCAGAGTCCGGGCTGGTTCATATGACACCAACATGTCACTAATGTATTTTGGTGCAAGGCCATGGAGAGACTTGTACACAAGCAGAACTGTTTTAAAATCTATTCTTTGAGCCACAGGAAGCCAGTGCAGAGACCTGAGGACCGGACTAATATGGCCATACTTCCTGGTTCCTGTCAGGACTCTAGCTGCTGCATTTTGGATGTACTGCAGCTGCTTACAGGTCTGTTTGGACAGACCTGTAAGCAGGCCATTGCAGTAGTCTAGCCTGCTGGAGACAAATGCATGGACAAGAATCTCCAAGTCTGCCCTGGACACTATATTTCTAACTTTGGCAATGTTCTTCAGATGGTAAAAAGCTGTTGATGTTATTGATTTTATGTGGCTATTGAAATTTAGGTCTGAGTCCAGTATTACCCCCAAATTTCTGACCTTGTCTGAAGGAAGTAGGGAGAGAGACTGAAGTTGACAAATGACGCCCTCTCTTTGTTTCTGGGGACCAAAGACAATGATTTCGGTTTTGTCTGCATTTAGCTGGAGGAAATTATTTTGCATCCACTCACTGATCTGTTGGATACAGTGAAGGAGTGAGTCCACTGGTCCATGTTCTCCTGCAGTCAGTGAGACATAGATCTGAGTGTCGTCGGCGTAATTGTGGTAGGACACTTTGTTTCTTTGTATTAACTGACCTAACGGCAGCATGTAGAGATTAAATAGGAGAGGTCCCAGGATCGACCCCTGTGGTACTCCACAGGTCAGGGCCACATGATCTGAGACGCAGTCTCCAATCTCCACAAAGTACTACCTATCCTCCAGGTAAGACCTAAACCAGTCTAGGGCTGTGCCAGTGACACCAACCCAGTCCTCCAGTCTCTGCATGAGGATCTCATGGTCGACAGTGTCGAACGCGGCACTAAGATCTAACATGACCAAAACTGTGACTTTACCTGCATCAGTGTGAAGTCGAATGTCGTTTGTTACCTTCACTAGAGCGGTCTCAGTGCTGTGGTGGGGTCTAAACCCAGACTGGAACATATCAAAAGAATTATTCATTGTTAAAAATTCAGTAAGTTGTTGGGAGGCCACTTTTTCAAGAATTTTTCCAATGAATGGCAGATTCGATATGGGGCGATAATTTTGAAGTCCCGCAGGATCCAGACTGCTCTTTTTTAGGAGAGGTCTTATGACTGCTGTTTTTAGGGCCATAGGAAATGTTCCTGACGACAGAGACATGTTTACTATTTGTGTCAGTGAAGGTAAAAAACTGCTCAGGACGGACTTCAGAAATTTAGAGGGCAATATATCCAGGCTACATGTGGAGGAGCTCAGACTCATGATTATCTTTTTGACAGTTTCAGTATCCACAGGTGCAAAGTGAGTTAGCTCAAAAAGCTTCTCTGGCTGTTGCATTGTTATACGTGCTGTGGAGGTGATAGTGTTTTTGATTCCTTGTACTTTGTCATCGAAAAACTGTGCGAACTCATTACACCTAGATTTAGAGGAAAATTCTAGGGGCAACTTTACAGGGGGGTTTGTTAATCTACCAACTGTTGAAAACAATTGTTACTGCAACCTCCAATAATGTCAGAAAAATACATTTCTCTTGTTCTACGTAGAACCCGGTTAAATTCACCCAACTCATCTTTAAAGATTTCATAATCGCCCTGGAAATTGGACTTTCGCCACTTCCGTTCGGCCCTCCGGCACTCTTGCTTCTGTGCCCTGACCGAGTCTGCCTTAGTCCATGGGGCCTTTTTCTTACTGGTAACTATTTTAACCGTCACAGGAGCAATGGCGTCCAGAACAGTCAGAACACTAGTAGTGACAGAGTTATACAATTCATCAACAGTAGAGCATGGAGTTTTCTCAAAATTTAGCATTCCTATGAACAGTTCACTTGTGTTTTCATGTATGTGTCTTCTTCTAACAATTGTAAATTCAGCTGGTGGTTTGCTAGCAAAACACATGTCAAAAAATACACAGAAATGATCTGACAAAGCAACATCAACTACATTAACATTTGATACATTAACCCCCTTTGTAATTAGCAGGTCAAGAGTGTGCCCCCTGCTGTGGGTGGGGCCACTCACGTGCTGAATGAAACCAAAGGTCTCAAATACAGAAGCCAGCTCCTTTGCATTTCTGTCATCAACATTATCAACATGTACATTAAAATCACCTGTAATAACTAAACTATCAAAATCTGTGCACACGAATGAAAGTAGTTCAGTAAAATGGTCAATAAAATCGCAACATGACTGTGGTGGCCTGTACAGGACAATGAAAAGAGTAGAAGATTGCTTTTGTTCCATTTTAAAAGAAATATACTCAAACAATGAAAAATTTCCAAGGGGCATTCTATGGGAGACAAAGTGCTCTCTCTAAAAACTGCAGCTATGCCTCCCCCCCTTTTGTTTTCTCGTATTTCGGATTCGAATTTAAAATTGGGTGGTGTTGCTTCTATTAGAACTGCATTTCCTGTATTTTGGTCCAGCCATGTTTCAGCCATAAGCATAAAATCAAGATCATAAGAAGTGATAAAATTATTAATTAAAAATGATTTGTTACATAGAGATCTGACATTAAGCATAGCAAGTTTAAAAATAACGTCAGAGTCGATTAATGTGGTTGATTGATTTCTACAGGGAACGGAAATTAGATTTGCAGAGTTGGACCATCTAACTGCTGTCCTGTTTTGATTTCGTTTTTTAGAATTTAAAAACATTTTTGAGCTGGTGCGAGGAACACACACAGTCTCAATTGGCCTAAAATGTGAAAACCCTTGTTGTTGTTCTTTAGCTCCCAGAGTCAGAAGGGAGTCAGCACAGTTCAGTGTTTGGACTGGTAATGCACTGCCAGACGGACAGGGAGCAGTGTTTGCACCGTTGTACTCACCCGGTGCTGGTGAGCAGGAGGCGGGGGAGTGCGGTGGGGTCCGAGGGGGCTCAGATGTAAACAGTCACGCCCCCCTCGGGGAACGCTGAACAACATGACGCATGTAGTCCATCAACTTTTCACTATTATCTGATGTTAAACATGAAACTGGCCTGAACTTTGTCCCCTAGTTTCATTTAAATTTCTATTGAAGGAGAGATTGACTGAAATGTGCAGATGCTACTCTTGAGCTGGATATTGTAACCAATTTAATGTATTTTTATAATGTTGTTGTTTGTGCTTGTGTATGTATGTTATTTGTTACCAAGATGTTCTTGGCCAGGTCTCCCTCATAAAAGAGATTTTATCTCAAGGGACTTCCTGGTTAAATAAAGGTTAAATAACTGAAGTCGTGTATGTTTCTTGTTTATAAAGGTAAGATATAAAACACTCTAAACACTTTTAAATGTGCGTTTTACATCGTTTTGTTTTATATATGTAGAGAATGCGGACATGAAAAATATTCAACCGTTGCCAGACAAATTGTGAATACGGCACTCTGTAGGTCATTTTTTTATGAATGTAAATCCAATTGGGATGAATAATGGTTGATTGGGCCTTACCAACCACCATTCTCACTGCACATCACTGCCAGAGAGAGACCAGAGAGAGGGACTAGAGAGAGGGACCAGAGAGGGATCACAGGGAGTGACCGGCGAGAGAGCAGAGAGAGCGACCCAAGAGAGACTGTGTTCCTCACCTGAACACAGACTGGTGGGAGTCGATGACTGCCCCGTATTCAGACTTTAGCAGGTTTCCGGAGTTCCCGACCACGGCACAGGAGCGGCACAGCGAGGAGCGTGGCTTCAGCGGCTCTGGGGGCGAAGCTATGACCCTAAACAGCTCTGACATCACTTCCTGTAGTGGACGATCATTCCCAGAGCGTTGGAGCATCTGTAGGAGTAGACGAGCTCATAACAAGGGTTTGGTTAACTAACATACACACACCCAAACAACACACACACACATTGATTATATGCATGGCTCCGCCCTCACCTTCCACCAGCTCAGAGCCCCGCCCTCCACGCTCTGGTTCTGCTTCAGGATTGGCTGTTTGTGAGGGTTGTATCTCTGTCTGAACCAATCAGAGCTCTCCAGGTCCGAAACACAGGAAGTGCATCCACACAGCCTGAAAGTATTATATTATGAAAATGAGGCTTTTTTTGTAATATGCTAATGAGTGTCATGCAGTGAAATGAAGGGAGGAACCAAAAAGCGTGAATGCAAAATTATATGATTTAATGATATAAAATAAAGTCCAAGGGAAAACAGAACACGGGAACGAAGATAACGGACAGACAGGGAGGAGCATGGGTACAGACACAGAGAGACACAAGGGGGCGGGAAAGGAATTCACACTAAAACAAAATCACAACACAACTGAACCATGTCAAGGAAGCCTGTACTTAAATATGCAAATGAGACTCACCTGAGAAGGGGGCGTGTCCTGGCCTCAGTTGTCACAGGTTCCGTCCCCGGTTTACCTGAAGACAAAGATGCACGATGGGAAATCATTATTTTACTGTCTGTGTGGGTTTGTAAGTTTGTGTGTGTCTCTGTGTGTGTATTTATATGTGTGGGAGGAGTCACTGACCTGTGGGTGGGGCCGGGCCACGAGTGGGCAGGGTCACAGACAGGAAGTGACTGTGAGAGGCGAGGGTGATGAAGAGAACAGCGGCAGCCAACGTTAGCGCGCACAGCCTCCTCCTCATTGCCATGGCGACCGGGAGCGGGGGCGGGGCTAACCCTCTGGCATCATCTCCAGCAAACGGGGGCGTGGCCTTGCATCGCGGCCGTCACCTCCGTAAAAGAACACTTCCTGTGAGAAAGTAGATCTACAGCCTCAGTCCTGGGTCTACAGCCTCAGTCCTGGTCTACAGCCTCAGTCCTGGGTCAACAGCCTCAGTCCTGGGTCAACAGCCTCAGTCCTGGATCTAACACTCCTCTCTGGTCTCTCTCTGGTCTCTCTCTGGTCTCTCTCTGGTCTCTCTCTGGTCTCTCTCTGGTCTCTCTCTGGTCTCTCTCTGGTCTCTCTCTGGTCTCTCTCTGGTCTCTCTCTGGTCTCTCTCTGGTCTCTCTCTGGTCTCTCTCTGGTCTCTCTCTGGTCTCTCTCTGGTCTCTCTCTGGTCTCTCTCTGGTCTCTCTCTGGTCTCTCTCTGGTCTCTCTCTGGTCTCCCTCTGGTCTCTCTCCCTCTGGTCTCCCTCTGGTCTCCCTCTGGTCTCCCTCTGGCCTCCCCTCTGGCCTCCCCTCTGGCCTCCCCTCTGGCCTCCCCTCTGGCCTCCCCTCTGGCCTCCCCTCTGGCCTCCCCTCTGGCCTCCCCTCTGGCCTCCCCTCTGGCGTCCCCTCTGGCCTCCCCTCTGGCCTCCCCTCTGGCCTCCCCTCTGGCCTCCCCTCTGGTCTCCCCTCTGGTCTCCCCTCTGGTCTCCCCTCTGGTCTCCCCTCTGGTCTCCCCTCTGGTCTCCCCTCTGGCCTCTCTTTGGTCTTTCTCTGGTGTCTCTCTCTCTGGTCACACTCACCAAGGTTTTGTAAGACTTTCTGCGGTTTCAGCTGTCTTTTCCTGTTTACTCAAACGACCTCAAGCACTTCCTCATAGATAACACTGTTAAAAGCTATTGAGACTTAAGTATCACAGAATTATATTGTTGAGGTATGAAAGTTACATATCTCAGCTTTAATATGTTTGATTGGTTTTATATCAGTATGTTTCCAAAGCGCTCCCACTGTTTCAGTCTAATCTCTTCAATCAGAGCTTCCCCTGAGCCTCAGATAATAACCAGCTCTGGACTAGGTCTGGACCAGGTCTGGTATTTTTTAAATTAAAATTACAAGATAAATTGGGAGGACTGTCACTTCCACAAACGGCCGTGTTCATTTAATAGACTAATGCAGAACTAAAGCCGGACTAAAGCAGGGGCAAAGAAGGTCTCAAGCAGGTCCAAAGCAGGACTAAAGCAGAACTAAAGCAGGACTAAAGCAGGACTAAAGCAGAACTAAAGCAGGACTAAAGCAGGACTAAATCAGGACTAAAGCAGGACTAAAGCAGGACTAAAGCGGGACTAAAGCAGGACCAAAGAAGGTCTAAAGAAGGTCAAAAGCAGGACTATAGAATAGGTCTATAGCAGGTCTAAAGCTGGACAAAAACAGATCAAAAGCAGAACTAAAGAAGGACTAGAGAATGGTCTATAGCAGGTCTAAATCAAGGTTAAAGCGGGGCTCAAGCAGGACTACGTCTAAAACAGGTCTAAAGCAAGATGAAAGCAGGACTAGCGCAGGTCTTAAACAGTACTAGAGCAGGACTAAAACAGATCTAAAGCGGGTCAAAAGCAGGACTAAAGCAGGTCTAAAACAGGGCTATAGCAGGACTAAAACAGATCTAAAGCGGGTCTAAAGCAGGACTAGAGCAGGACTAAAGCAGGACTAAAGCAGGACTAAAGCAGGTCTAGGACTACATTTGCCACAAAACTCCTCTGTCATTATAGAGGAAAGTCTCCGCCCTGACTATTCTAAAGTGTGTAATAAGATTTTTTTTTTGCAATTAATGGAAGTTAAGGGAAGTAAATAACACATGTTTAAAGCTGGGGTACACACCTTTAGTCTAATAAAGAACACATTTTTAAAGCTAAGGTCTGTAACTTTAGTCTCATAAATAGCATGTAGTTTATCCAACAGATAACAGAGTGTCATCATTGCATGAGAAACCATCCTTTGTGTAAGTAAGAGCCCTGAGAGACACTTTTTGACTCTTTGGGCTAAGAACTGACTGGCTGAGTGAGGGTGGTCCTCTCTTTGATCTAAAGATGTGAAAACTAGAGATAGAAGTAACTATTTTAGAGCCAGGGACTAACGCTAGAGACGAGGGTTTATTAAGAGTTCTAACGGTCTGAAATTTAAGTTCCCCAGCTTTAAAGTTACGTACCAAGGCGTACAAGTCACGTACCCCAGCTTTCAGTACTGCGTAGTCCTGTGACTCCAAAGTTATTAAATCAGAATAACCTGCAACAAGAAGCCCAGGTCCACTACTGGTCTGGTCCAGTCCAGTCCAGGTCTAGTCCCGGTCCAGTCCCGGTCCAGTCTTTGTCCAGTCCTGGTCTAATCCACTTTTGGTCTCGTGTTAAAACTTACAAAGTGACTCCGGAAGCCTGGTCTGGACTAAACTCGGGATAACGGGACTTACCGCGCGCGTGCGTTTCCTCTACGGATCGTGTCTGTGTGCGCGCGTGAGCTTACTGTTAGGCCACGCCCACACAGGAAGCTCCGGAAACAGGGGACGGGCCCCACAAAAGTTTGCAAAAGTTAAAAAAAACTTTACACTGTCTGCATCCAATTTCAACATCTGATCCTCTCTCCTCACTCGCCCTCTCTCCTTCCTCTCCTCCCTTCCCTGTCCTCCCTCCTTCTCTCCCTCTGCTTTTAGACCTTGTGGCATAAAGTTTGAAGTTTAAAAAGTGTTCAGTGTGTGTGCGTCTCTAATGAACATTGAACAGAAACAGTTTCTGGAGGAAAGACTTTTATTTGACCCAAACTGATGAAAAGGAAACATTCAAGTATTATACTGTTGATACCAAAGAGAGGGACGAGAGAGAGACCAGAGCAAAAGAGACCAGAGAAACACACCAGAGAGACTAGGGAGAGAGACCAGAGAGAGAGACCAGAGGGAGATACCAGAGACAGCTGTAAGACAGACAGGATATGGAGACATCCACTAAACTTAATAATGAAAAGGAAAATTGAAAAGTTTGGGAATCAAACGCTCAGCTGCAGGTCTGTGAGTTCTCATGTCACATGTGGCCTGGTAGTTGAGGCCTGTCACATGGTGGACAGGGTCTGTCACTCAGTGAGCTTCACAGCTCACATGACGGCACAGCAGCAGGTTGCCGGGTAGTCCGCGCTCACACCACGCTCGTTGCCGTAGACGTAGAAGTTGTGGGTGTCTCCTTTCCATTTGTACGAGACTTTGGAGATTGGGATCAGCTCCACTGTCTGCCTCTGTAACCATAGAAACAACTATATCAGCTCTGTGGGGAGGAGACCAGAGAGAGACCACAAAGTGACCAGAGAGAGACCACAGAGAGATCAGAGACAGAGGTCGCGTTTCCAGAGCAGTGTTTTAGAAAACTGAAGCAGGACTAAGAAAAACTCAAAGACCACAACAACCGAAGCGGGAGATAAATGGGTTTGGTGTAAGGAGTTTTGCTTATGCGGCAATTGAAACTCATGACGTCGCCAAGGGGTCCTACTCTGAGAGGTCCGAATGAGAGGACGGTTCCTGTAGAAGTTCCACCTCCCTCCTTTTACCGAGAACTCCTACAGTGGAAATGCGACTAGACACCAGAGACCGGGCCTCTTACTTGCTGCAGGATCCTCCCGTTCTGAGAGTATTTGGTCTGATGATCTTGAATCATTCGAGCTGAAGCTTCAGAAATTGCGGCGTTTGGGAATCCCATCAGAGGATAGAGCTGAGGACAAACACAAGAGGAGTAACAGCAGTAGAAGTAGTAGCAGTAGTGTCAGGAATGAACCAGACAGACGGATCGTGGTGCGCCAAACTCTGGAAGTTTATTTAAGTTTCTCTCAAGTTCCAGTGGTTTCAATTGTTTCTTTCTCTCAGACAGAATAAAGGCAGTACACAGTTTATATAGTCATTGTCACGTCACACATCGAAAGACATACGTGTCACACAGAGACAGTGCACATCATAGTCAAAACATGGAGTCATCATCAGAGTCCTTGTACAGTCCTGCACGTAGGCCATATTGCTATCTAATACTAACACTAGTAACAGTATTTCTGTACCATAAAAGCAGAGTTGGTGAACAGCTGTTTCCCGTGGACACTCTTCAGGTCCTCAGAATTCAGTCCAGACTCCTGATGAACCACATGGTCCTCGCACTGGTTCTTCCTGAGACACAAAGACTCCTCAATCACACCTGTGTTTATCTCATGATGTGTGATGGTCTGTGGAGGGTGCTGCTGCTTATCTCCTCGTGGACTAGAGGCCACCCATGGTACTGCATCTTAAATCCACATGAACTGATGCCATGCGGTTTTAGAATTCCCCATAGACCTCAGTGCTCACTAAAACGGCTTGTCCTTAGAGAGACAGAAAACTACAGCTTGTTTTAAAGGTCTCTGTCTCATAAACTTTTGTGCCATAAACTCGCTCTGATCAACAAGGTGCTGATTGGTCAGAACGCTCACACAGTTCTCTGCTCTCTCTGGTCTCGCTCATGCTGGTCTCACTTTCTGGTCTTGTGGAAGTAGAAGCATTGCACACCCGCTCCACTAGACAGTGAGAACCAGAGCTGGCCAGAACGCATCACTTCAGCCGACCAGAGGTAGACATCTTTGAGACCTGGGGTAGACATCTTTGAGACCTGGGGCAGATGTCTTGGGACCGTGGGGCTTGGTGTTGTCCTTGTGAGTTAAGTATGCAGTACCGAGATCCACCACCAGGTGGTGTCCAGCTCTCTTTACAGTCTATAGCAGGGGTGTCAAAGTGATTTTTGTCCGGGGGCCAAATACAACCCAATTGGATCTCAACTGGGCCGGACCAGAAGATGCTCTACAAAAATACCCAAAAACGGTACAAAGTCCAACTTTTTGTGCACATAAACACATTTATTTAAAACTTGTCCTTTACTCACTCAGTTTTAACTGTAAATCTGTTACAAACTTAAATGTAACAGTGAGTTTTTCATAGTGCAAATAATGTAATGTATTTACATTGTAAATGGCATTTCACAATATTTATATTAATATATTTGTATGTTAGCTTTGTTTTAAGGATCATTAGAGAAAAAACTTCAAAGTATCTTCAGTGTGGTAAGGTCCATGGTTATGTTATTATCAGAGAGAAAGCATCAAACTGACCATGATTCAGTTGAAATGAACAAAACTACTTCCATAACGGGAACTATTAATGACTGCAGCAGTGTCTCTGTGTAAAATACAGTCAAATCCAAAAATCATCACCTCCATTTGCAGCTTTGTCACAACACCTGCCTTTACCATCGATAACAGGCTGAGAGTGTAGGACCAGTCCACACTGTCCAACACACCAGCACCAGCAGCAGCGCTCAAAACTCCTCTGTGATAGTTTCAGTAACACCACAAATGAATATGCGACATCAGTAACATCAGTCTCTTATCAATGGCAACATGTTGGCAGACCATGTCTGCAGCCTGTATGAGAGTTTTAACAAACTCTCTCTCACTGTGCGGCTGCGATGCTAATGCCATGTTAGCACTCATGTAGCTTGCCTTTACAGTAGCAGCACTAACCTCTCGCTCTGGGCACAAACAGACTGCTGTTTCTTCAGGGCTAGACACGTTTATCTTCTGCCTTCTCAAGTCTCTGCTCAAAGTGCCGTATTTTTCACAGAGTCTCGTAGTTTAAGATGATATTCCTTCAGCACTGCCACTTGTTGCATGACACCAAATATTGTTTAATTCACCTCCGCGAACAAATAAGAATTACTCCACTTTTCTTGGAAAAACCTGACACTCGCCTTTTTGACAAAGACATTTTGCTGAAGGTGTCACTGTCAGTCACAGAACACGCTCTGGTGGAGCCACTACAGACGCACTCGACTCGCTGCTGAGCTCAGCGTTGCAGCGTGTGGAGTCTATGGGCGCGGAGCGGGGTACGGCGCAGATTTTATTTTGTTAATTAATATTATTATCCATCCATCCATTTTCTTCCCCTTAATCCATTTCTGGGTCGGGGGGGTGGCAGGCAGAGCTGCACCCAGTCCACTTAGCACCAGCCCCTCACTGATCCTCCTGCAGGTGGTGAGTCCACAGGAGCTGAGATCTTTCAGTGGGAGCTTCAGGCAAAGGCAATATTATTATCATTTTACATAAATGAGCCGCGGGCCGTGTCAAATCTCTTGGCGGGCCGGATGAATGACACCCCTGGTCTATAGTCTGTGGCTTCAGCAGCATCCTCCAAATAATATAGTACATCAGTCCAATGCTCCGTCCAAGTGCAAAATGTCCTTTTGTTTATAGGTACCCAATTAAAATCAATGGCTTGTGCTCAGTAGCGCATGGCACCTCCATGGGACCAAAAGATTAGCGGAACTCGCCTATGTTTGGGCATCGTCTGGTCCTCCCAGTTCTGCCCAGTTCTGCTCAGCTCCCATGATCCCTTTGTGCCAAATACTAATAAGCATGTGTGTGTGGCTCTCATGCAAGTGTACAGAGCAGTGGGGGCGGGTCCCGGCTCAAAAATTGCCAAAATGACGTGCGCTGACATGCTTGCAATACCACCACGGGGCGATGGGGGTGGACCCGGAATAAGAATTATTCAATGCTAACATATAGCATTAGCTGATGGTCCAAAAGTCGGCTCTTGGCCCAAAGCTACGTTCCACATGTGTGTCAATGCTGAGGGAAGTGAATTTTTTTGGACCAGTCTAGTTTAGGCGCTGTGAAATTTTGAAGACATTCGATAGATAAATGGGGCTCCTGCCGGCTGACGCATGCGCAGATGCGTTCTTTCACATTTTCCAGCCCCCGCGGCTATTTTGAAACTGCCCATAGACCGCGGAAGTTGTGGCACATTAGTTAGAACGGCGGAGATAGGCAGGACTACGTCCGTTAATATTTACAGTCTATGGTACAGAGGAGCAAGCCAGCGTTCTGACCATTCAGCGGCTGTTGACCAGAGCGGAGGTCCAGAGCATGTATCTATAAGAATATCTGGATGTAGTATTTCTAGCTTATAGCTCCCATATACTGTAGGTGCTTGTGGTACTGCAGACTAAATTCACGTGGGCTACCCAGAAAGATTTCCCATAGAACTCAATGTAAACTAAAACAGCTCGACCTCAGCTGACAGAGATCCTACAGCTTTCATAAAGGTTGGATTTCGTGGGGATTTTAGTGTCACTTGTCATCCTGAACTTCTTTTTTTAAAATCCAAACTTTACTGCCACAAAGTCTGCTCGTTGTCTTCCCGCTCTACCGCAGCTCGGAGTGGTCAAAGCACGGCCGAGCCCCTCCGTGCACGTGTATGAGAGCCACACGCACGTATTTGGCGCAACGCATCATGGAACCGAGAGGACCAGACGATGCCCATATATAGGCGAGCTCCGATAATCGGCCCCCATGCATATCCGCTACTGAGCACAAGCCATTCAGTTGAATAGGGCACCTACTTGGATCACCGGGGCTTGGTTCAGAGCAGGAGCCAAACGAGCATAGTTTGTTGCATTGTTACACTTGCATGCAAAGTGTAGATTTATAGAAAACCAAAACATTTAACAAGAAATAAGTACAGGATGACATGGGACACTAAAATCCCTATAATCTGACCTTTATGAAAGCTGTAGGGTCCCTGTCAGCTGAGGTCGAGCTGTCTTAGTTTATATTGAGTCCTTTGGGACCTTTTTCTGGGTAATCCACTTGAATTTAGTCTGCAGTACCGCAGGCGCCCCTTGTACCCATTGGTGGGACATCAATGAGCTAGTAGAACCCAATCCAGCTATTATTATATCTATGGTTTTTAACCTTGGTTGAGCTTGAGTTAGCATTAACCTTAGTTTAGCCTGGGTTAGCCTGGGTGAGAACTAGCCTAGGTTGGCATTAGCCTGGTACCATTCCACAGTGAGTTTGATGTACGCCAGCATCCGTCTCTTCCCTTTGCAGACGTCACAGTCAGAGGTCCCACGTCCATCACACGAGTCACATCTGAGATACAAGAGGTTAGAGTATTGCAAAAGTACTGCAGAGGTACTACTGAAAGTAGAAGTATTGTGAAAGTACCGGTCCTGTCTCTCTCTGTCTCTCTGTGTCTCTCTGTGTCCCGGTCTCAGTCCCGGTCTCAGTCCCGGTCTCAGTCCCGGTCTCAGTCCCGGTCTCAGTCCCGGTCTCAGTCCCGGTCTCAGTCCCGGTCTCAGTCCCGGTCTCAGTCCCGGTCTCAGTCCCGGTCTCAGTCCCGGTCTCAGTCCCGGTCTCAGTCCCGGTCTCAGTCCCGGTCTCAGTCCTTATTTGGTACCTCTCAGATCCGGTCCCGTTGCAGCGGCTGCAGTTCTGTCCATCTCTAGTTCCGGCTCCAGAACAAACCCAACAGTTTTTCTGAGACATAAACAGGAGTCAGGTCATGTAAACAAACAGGTGTCAGGTTCAGCAGAGGGTCATGTGATCACCAGGGTTTGCTTATGAGAAAGTTTCATATGGACTGGGACTGCGCCTCCGGGCAGGGGTCTGTGCTCTCTACCTCCTCCCTCCTAGTTACCCTCCTCCCCCCCTCTTGTCTCTTGTCCTTACACCCTCCTGCCCTCCTCCTCCACCTCCTCACCTTCCCGTCTCCTTTGCAGGTCTCACACGGCTTCGTCCCAGAAGCACGGCACTCGGAGCAGTCCTTTAACACACAATACAGTACTCAAGTAGTATTGAATCTTAAGCGGAAGTTCAAATTGGTAGACTACCTATGTCAACGCACTGGGCCCATGCCTTCCTCAGCGTCATCAATTTACTGCCAGCTGTGATAATCAAGACAGAACTTAGAAGCGGGAAACCGTACACCAAACAACCTTTCAAGCCGCAAGTCATTTCTCGCTGGACTCCAATCAAAGCCGCAATGAGTTGGTCTGGATTCACTTAGTCTACTCACGCCATGCACGGTTATTCATCCTCTGCTTAGCATTGGATGCCCGTGGTCGAGGCTCCTCTTCTCCCCGCGGCCGCTGCTGGGTGCGGACAGGCATAAATCCACAGGCCTTGCCGCTTCTCTCGTACTGCCATAAACTGTACTGACCTGCGGGTTGGCAATTTATTGCTGTCAAACTGGCTTCATGCTGTTCGTTTTTACAAAGTTCATTGGCCTTCAGGCGGCACGCACCGTCGGTGGCACGCCATGACAGCCACGTCGGTGGCACGCTGCAGTGCTGCCCGGCGGGGCCTTCCAGCCTCCCACGTAACAGCAATTTATTTCCGTCAAATTGACTTCAGGCTTTTCGTTTTTAGCCAGTGCATTGGTTCTTCAGCTAATGCATTGCGCTCACTACGCTGCTCATACCCTGCCTATTGGTAACGGTGATTTCAAAGTTAACCTTCTCAGCATTGCAGGAACGTGATGGCCTCGGCTACAATGCCACACGCGCCAAAGGCGGTATATAAATAAAAACTTACTTACTTACTTACTTACTTACACACGCTACACGCTTTGACGCTAGCCTGCTACGACGGCCGCAATGTCGGCCCACTACGACGCGGCATCGGCGGCACGCTTTGTCGGTGGCACGCTATGACACAACAACTGGGCCACAACAACCAGGCCGGCTTTCTTCCCCAGGCGTCACTCACTGGCTCTGGGAGCGCTGCGCTCCCCATCACTAAGTTGTATACACTTGCTGCCTGCATGGCTCTATCTGCATTAAATTCATGCTCCGTGATGAGTTGCACTCTGCTCCGTCCTCAAAAGAAGAGCCTGAAAGGAGCTAATCCTCACTCCTGAAAACCATTGCACTCTGGTCGAAGCCAAGTTCAAATATGTGTCTGAATTCATGCAACCTCTATTTCAACCTCTCCTACCCTTTCCAGATAGGAGCAGTCACGTGGGCCACCGCCCTGGGTTTTCCTCAGTCATCCCTGCAGCAGCTGGGCAACCGGTCCCCTTCCGCCTTCGCATCATAAATCAGACCAGACTCCACACCCATCCTAACAGCCCAGCGCTCCCTCTCGTCTTGGGTATGCATACATCTCCTGGTGGTGGCAACTCTGCCTCAGTCATGCCTTACAGTCCTCAAGCTGTCTATCACAGTCTGCCCCACTTGAGCCAAGCTTGAGCGTGAGGTTACGCCTTAGCACTAGAGCCGAGCTCGCGCTTGGACAATCATGCCATGCACTTGTTCTGAGCTCGTGCGCCTCAGCGTTTGAGCCGAGCTCGAAGTTGGACATCCATGGGGCACATGTCTGCCGCGTCATGCGCGGCGCTCGACCTCGTGCTCCTGTCACCAGCCTCACAAATGCAGCATCAGAGTCACGGCCAACACACAGCTTGCCAAGCTCTCTTTGGGGGATCATGATCTTCACTCAAGCACAGATCCTCACAGAGCAAGGCCAAAGCCGGGGCCTATCCGCCAAACTAATAAATTCTAAACAAAACTCGCAAACAATAAATCTTTTAAACGCACCATGTCTCCTGTAGTCTCTCAAGATTGAACTTCAGTAGTCATAATACAGTAATAGTTACCTTGACAGAGGCAGTAAAAGGTACTCTAATCTCTTGCTTCTGATTGGTGAAGTTACTTGGGGGCGTGGCCACCACCTCCCAGGGCCGAGGGGCGGGCTGAGTGTAGAAGTCAGCCGCTTCACCTGCCAGTCAGACACACAGCCAATGAGAGGAGAGGAGAGGTTTGAATGGGCCAATCAAAGCAGACTTACCCTCGTGTGGTTTCTGGGCCCACTCTGTGGATCTGGACTCAGTGTAGGTCTCCAAACGATACTGTCGCCATAGCAACAACGAGTCAGGTCGATAAACAGTGACAATATTAAAGTTATTACACAGTGTAGGCTTGTATACGTTGCACTGTATACTGACCATGTATGTGTTAATTGTATCAAACAGTAAAGTTTGAAGTTAAACATTTACACACAATTACAATACATTTACAATAACAGCACATTCGTAAAATAAAGATTGATAATAATGATTAAATAATTTTCATTTTATGTGGGGAACACGAGTTCTCCACATAAAAAATAAAGTGATATTTACTTTGGCTAATAAAATTGACGCATTTTCATCGTATTTATTTATGCACCGTGGAACGTTTCTCACGGCCATGTCCACACGTAGCCGGGTATTTTAAAAACCGAATATTTCCCCCCCTCTGTTTATAAAATAATTTGCATCCACACATAATCGAACAAACCTGTCACATGTCCTGTCCTGACATCCTGTCCTTCGTTGGGGGAAAAAACGCAGAAGTGGGCGGAGCTTAGATGCTGACACCGGGACTTCTGTAGTGGCACTTTTACAGTCACAGTAGAAATTCAGGGTGAAGATTAAAGTCTATGGTGAAAACATGTTCACAAGCACCGTGTCCTCTGTCCTCAGTCCTGGTTTAATCCTGGTTTAGCTCCTGTTTTGGATGTTTTCTATATATTCGTTTATGATGCGTTGTCATGTGGACGACAGGTGCAAACAAAGACAAATATCTGCGGTTTAACAGATACCGGCTACGTGGACGGGGCCTTGGACGGACCGATTGTACAGGAGCATCAACTAACGCGCATCATTTCTGTTCAGACAACAACAAACACCAGTGGCACAGTGAACATGAACAAAGAATTACTAATTTATTTGTCTTCAATACCAGGTGTGCGGGAAACATTTTTCTGATGGACAACCCATAAGAGAAAACATTTATCCTGTGTTGCATATGGGTTATGATTGTTGTGTAAAATTTTTTCATACTGTATTCAGGCTCAAACCACTTCTACATCTAAACATGGCTCTAACATGGTCAACATTTTATTATATATTTTATTTATTTTATTTAAGCCCGACATTTCCTGTTGTTACCTGCATCAGTAAGTTTTGGCCAGTAACTGACTTAATCAATGCTCCCTTTCCTTTGCCATAATTGATTAAGATGACAAAATCTTAATCAATCTTAAAAAATGAACATGACGATGGTGACGGGAATGAGGATAAACTGTAATGATATTATACAATATAATTTATAATTGTCGTAGTTGAAATATTTGTGTTACTGACCAGGAAGCTAAAGTGAATGAATGGAGTGGGAGTTCATAAGTCTTACTTCTTCCCACTCCATTTCAGGTCTCTATAGGAGTGAATAGGAATCTACTGTATGCATTTATGGCATACAACTGAATTCTGTATGAGCCTAAAACAATAAATGAAATGAAAATTATCTCATCATTCATTGAAAATCCAGCAGAGTAAGTGCTGTAAGTACCATAGTACCGAAGAGTAAGCATCATACTGTGGTAAGTCACAGTATGCAGCAGGCACGGAGTAATGGCGGACAGGCAAGATGGCGGGCCGCACAAATTTCGAGGTGGATTAGTCTCCACCATGGATCTATAATAATAACTGGATAGGGTATTACTATCTTATAGCTGTCCCACCCATGGGCACAGGGGACGCCCGTGGTACTGCAAGCTAAATTCACGTGGGCTGCCCAGAAAAAATTCCCATAGAACTCAATGTAAACTAAAACAGCTCAACCTCAGCTGACAGAGATCCTACAGCTTTCATAAAGGCTGCATTTTTTGGGGATTTTAGTGTCCCTTGTCATCCTGAATTTTTTTTTTCTCAAATCCTTTGGTTTTATTTAAATCGACACTTTAATGCCACAAACTCTGCTGTTTCCTTCCCGCTCTACCGCTGCACTAATAAGCAGCTTGGATTGGTCAGAGCGCGGCCGAGCCCCTCTGTGCACGTGCATGAGAGCCACACAAGGGTATTTGGCACAAGCATGGGAGCTCGTCCACTGCGCAGAACCAGGAGGACCAGAAGATGCCCAAATATAGGCAAGTTCAGCTAATCTCTCAGTCCGTGTATGTCCCATGCGCTACTGAGCACAAGCCATTTATTTGAACAGGGTGCCATCTTGGATCACCGGGGCTTGGTCTATACTGACCCATGTATGTGTTGCACTGTACACTGACCCTGTACGTGTTGTACGCCTGTATCCCGGTGATGACACCGTCCTTGGCGGGGGCGGAGCTCCAGCAGCAGTGGCCGGAGGCAAAACTCTTAAAGGCCTCCTGTGCCTCGTCCTCCGAGAGAGAAGGGATCCTACAAGTACAGGTACAAATACAAAAGAGTACTACAGTACTACAGAGTACTACAGTATTACAGTGTAGTGCAGTACTACAATGTACTACCCAATGTATTACAATACAGCAGAGTACTACAGTGTACTACAGTGTAGCAGAGTACGACAGTTCTACAGAGTAGAACAGTACTACAGAGTATTACGGTACGATCACGTACGTCCAGTCATCGGGGGCGGGGCCAGGCTGTGGAGGTGGGAGGGGCTCCAGAGGCACAGGGGGGGGCAGGAATCCTCCTGAAACACATGCTTCATCTGAGCCAAAATGTCTGTACATCTGATCCAGCTGAGCTGAACTGAGTTTGTGTGTGTTTGTGTTTCAGAGACACTGACCTCCTCCAATGCCCTCATATCCAGGAACACTTCCAAACATGCCAGAAGGAGGCGCTGAAGGGTAAGCGGCTGTAAGCAGATGAGAAGGGACGTGAGAGGAGATGGTGAAAGGAGGCGAGGGGAGGATGAGGTGAGAAGACCACCATAAAACAATCAGTGGGTCAGCCTCCAAAAGTCCTCTGTGTCTGTTATGGCCACCTCAACTATGAGACAACATGAGGACAAAATACAGAAAATTACATTTATTTCTTATTTATTTTTTGTAAAATAGTATTCAGAATAGTATTTAGTAAAAAACACAAGTCTATCTCAATACTTTTTTATATTCCCTTTATTGGCAATGACAGAGGTCAAATGTGTTTTATCCGTACAAGGTTTTCACATAGCTGCGAGCAGTTTTTCAAACCTGTGTCAGTGACACCCTATCCAGCGATTTAATGCCACGTCAGACAATAATTGCACCCTCCGAAACAAAAGGCAGTGATAAAATAACAGGAGGAACATTGCTGTAGGACTTCACCACCTCTGCTGCTGTGACAGACAGTACTCTTACTGTTATTACTATTGTTAGTAACTTTTAGAATTATGTATTCATTTGTTTTGTTTGTATGGTTTCTGCTACTGGACACCTGAATTTCTTATACAGGGATCAATAAAGTATCTATCTATCTAAAAGACTCTGCCGCTGTGGGGTGAAGGAAACTTGACGCTGATTGGTTGATGCCACAGATTCATTTTCATTCCTTTAAGCTACCGTGGGCCAGCACTGTTGCTTCTGGACCCTGGTAACACATGATGCGGAATAATGACTGGACAATACAGACATAAACCCTTGCCCTCCAAATCTTGACCGAGGGCTGGAAGCTGCGCAACCAACTTTGGAAGCTATGAAATGAAGAGGATAGACTATGGGGAATCATTTATTACACATTTGGGGAAAAATTAATGTATATAAATGTATGTAAAGATGTATATATATTGTTTTTGATTATGTTTAGGCCAGCAGAGAAGATCTTACTGGCTTTGAGGGTCCACCACTAGTATTTTTGCCCAGTGATTGATGGTGCTGCTGCTCGGCAACACAGTCTTTGAGATCTGGAGACTGAGGTGCTGTTTACACAAGGACGCCACAACAGTAAAACTTTAGAGTTGGGTATCGGATTGCCCTTTCATTTACATGGAGACAGAGTTTCAATGGGGTGAAAACGCAAGCGTTGAGAAACAGCCTCCAGAGTGGAACAGAACAGCTATACGCTGTGCAGCGGGGGGGCAATTTCACAGCCATGTGAAGAAAAAGTTGGAAATTCTCTGCTTGCAATGGCCTCACCACTCATGCACATTTGGCGCAGTAGGCGAATTGCTTTGCAGCGTCTCTGCAGCGTTTGCTTCTAAACGGGCCTGAGGCTGCTCCAGGAGTGTGTTTGGGATCAGTGTTATGCTGATTGATACATGGCCCCATTCATTCTGTCCTTTACACAGATCCATCATTCTTTTCCCTTTGCAGAAAAACACCCCAAAGCATGATGTTTCCACCCCCATTTCACAATATGGTGTTCTTTCTAATCCAAACACGACAAGTTTTGTTTTCTACCTAAAAGATCTACTTAGGCTTCATCTGACCACAGGATATTCACATTCACAACTCACTGCTTAGCTACTGCAGATCCAGTCTTCCCCGCTTGGAGCAGGTCTACAACTGTGTTTCTGGTGTCTGATAGCCCTTTGATCTTGGCCAAAGTGGGGTGTGTTATTTATTAGACTAAAGTTACGGACTCCAGCTTTAAACATATGTTATTTATGAGAATAAAGCTGCAGCTGTGTGGAAGTGACTTGTCCTGCTCAGTGCACAGGTTTTTTTGGTCTCAGGTCTCACATTGTTATGCTCTTCTCACAGTGGTTGAGTTTCAGATCAGCTGCTACCAACTGTTCGTGATATGTGGACTGAAACAGGTCTAAAGCAGATCTAAAGTATGTCAAAAGCAGGTTAAGCAGGTTTAAAGCTGGACTAAAGCTGGACTAAAGCAAGACTAAAGCAAGACTAAAGAAGGACTAAAGCAGGTCTAAATCAGGACTAAAGCAGGACTAAAGCAGGACTAAAGCAGGACTAAAGCAGGACTAAAGCAGGACTAAAGCAGGACTAAAGCAGGACTAAAGCAGGTCCAAAGCGGGACTAAACCAGGACTGAAGCAAATCTATAACAGGACTAAAGCAGGACTAAAGAAGGCACAGCAAGACTAAAGCGAGAGCAGATGTAAAGCCGGTTGGAGACAGATCTGTAATCCTAGAGACTTTTACAAGTTTGGGCATTCCCCAACTTTACAACGGTCTAAACATGTCTGAGCGCCCCAGGATTGAACCGGGACTGAACCAGTACTGAACCGGGACCATAGCAGATCTAAAGTCGGTCTATAACAGATCAGTGACAGGTCTAAATCAGGTCTAAAGCAGGTCAGTAACAGGTCTATAGCAGGTCAGTGACAGATCTAAAGCAGGTCTAAAGCAGCTCTAAAGCAGGACCAAAGCAAGACAAAAGCAGGACCAAAGCAAGACAAAAGCAGGACTAAAGCAAGTCTATGGCAGGATTACAGCAGGACTAAAGCAAGACTAAAGCAAGTCTATGGCAGGATTACAGCAGGACTAAAGCAAGACTAAAGCAAGTCTATGGCAGGATTACAGCAGGACTAAAGCAAGACTAAAGCAAGTCTATGGCAGGATTACAGCAGGACTAAAGCTAGACTAATTAGCAGGACTATGGGCGTGTCACATGCGGGATAAATAAATGCCTACAGACCCGCACACGTGATCAATCCGTCTGATCAAAGGGGTTAGAAAAGCCAAACTGTTACTTTACCGGTCATGTCTACAGAGTCTGCGCGGAACCAGGTCTGAATCAGGTCTGAACCAGGTATAGGCCAGGACTGAAGCAGGTTTTAAACAGGTTTTGAACAGGATAAGAGGTGGACCCCACACGCACATATTCCTGTTCCCTTCACAATAAAAGCACTCGTGGTGGGGTTAGGGTTAGGGTTTTTGCACGTGGGTGAACAGCGTTATTTATTTAGCACGTTTACAACACCCGCTGCCCAACGTGCTTCACGTTCACAAAAGTGAAAAGAGCACAAGCTGCATAAATACACAGACAAATAAAACTCAATTTTTCAGCTGGTGTTTAAGTCGAAATCACTGCCATACAGAGGTGTTCCACCAGGAGTCAGCACCAGCACCAGCCTCTGGTAAAGGACCCAAGCTTAAAGAGGGATAACCGCCCGTGGAGGGCGAAAGTATATTAACTCATTCACTGCCATTGACGTCTATAGACGTCAATCGTTCGTCAAGGCTCTTGTGCATCCTGTGTCAACATTTCAGACCTGTAAACACTTTGGAACCGATCCTGTAGGGGGCAGAGGTGACACTGTGGCCAGATCCAGGGAGGGAGAAGGGGGCATGTGGTGCTGTGAGCAGCAAACAGCCAGAGGAGCAGCCATGCTTACACAAAGGACCGCGGATCTGAGAAGCTCACGCAACTAACGCTGTTTGAGAGCCTGTTCAGTCATCAAACGAATAAATATGAAGCAGCTAGATGCCACGATGCTAGTTCTTCAGGTTTTAGTTAACCTCAGAGACTCCAGGATCCTCGGAGTCTCATACCCAAGGACACAACAACAGCAGTCATCAGTGGGAGTCGGTGGAGAAGGTGTAGAGGTGGGAATTGAACCCACGACCTTCTGGCCTTAAGGCCAATGCTCTTCCAACTGAGCTCCGGTTTCCCCTACCACTAAAAATATGTACAATAGGTCTGGCATGTGCCTCCTGTACTGGCACCCCTGCTCCCAAAAATAACAATTGTAAACCGCTTTGAGACTCTGATGTGCAGTGAAAAGGCGGTATATAAATAAAGATTACTACTACTACTTACTTGATTACGCGGGACATTTTTCCAAAAGTTTCCCTGTTGAGTTTGGAGGCGTGCGAATCTGGCATGCAGCATTAGCTGCCAGGGAGCTATAGATGATGTTACCGTGTGGTTTATAGAAGGGACAGGGGGAGGGTGATCCATGGCAGACCGGTGAGCGGGACCCATGATGAGCAACAAGTGTTAGATTTATGGGCTAGACACACGGGAGGCGACATCGCATCGCCTCCATTCATTTCAATGGGACGTGCGCGACATAGCGTCAATCGCTAGCGAGCCTCCTGCTCAGCGACGGGCGAAAAACGTGCGTGTGAAATCCTCCTGCTCGTGCATGTATCGTGCACGCGCAGGTCAGCGACGCGATCCCAGAAAGTTGAAATCGGCTCAACTTTTCGACGCTGTCGTCAAGCCGCATCGCGCCCCGTCTGTCATGTTATCTGAGCGACAGCGTTGAGTTTCGCTGATCGCTCTCATTTGTCGCCTCCCGTGTGTCGAGCCCATTACCGCACCATGTTGTGCATTCTGCTGTGGTGCGTCTCACTGTGGAGGGTGCGTCAGGAGCGCGCCCACTGCTGCTTTGGAACAGAGGGAGAGAGACTGTCTCCCTGTTGCTCTGATCCCAGAGTCTGCGTGGTTTTGCGTTCAAACATTGAGAGATTCTTGAGGGAGTGATAGCAATCACTGGCTTATACTATAGTAAAAATAAACAGCGAGTATTGAAGAGTTTTTTTTATCTCAATGTCATAGCTGCTGAAGCCAAAACACTTGTTATAATGTGAAAATATATGGTGATTTTATACTTTTCTGTGTGTTGTAGATCGTTGACCCCAGGACCCCAAAATGCTGCAGCAGAGCTTGATTTGGATCAGCAGCTGACTTCTGCAGCTCTTCATAACTGATGAACTACTGGATCCTGGATCTTGTTGTCGAACAGACAAAGCTGTATGCAGCACAATATTTCATTGCGCACACACAGCGTCTCCTATTCAGCAGAGAAAATGCATGGAAGCCAGTGACAGTCTAGCAGCTAAAAACCTTTTTTGGTTTGACATTTCTCACTGGGTTTGTAAAAAAAAAAACTAATCTAGAAATGTATTGGGAGTGCGGAGGAAGTAGATTCCACCCCACACTTCAGCAGAGTGTGGGGTCACCCAATTACTATTCTTTATAAACTAAAGTAAAATTGTTTCACAAAGTGTTCAGAAAGTGTTATTTTTACTGTATATTTGTGTACAAAGTGTTTTTATTGTATACAAGTTGAATATTGTATGTGTACATAAGACAATCCTTTGAGTGTATTGTGTGTACACGTTTAATTTGTTTAAAAATAATTATACATTAAAAATACAATTCAATGTATTGTTTCTGTTTTGTGTCATAGTAAGAAACTGTGATACATTGAAAATATCAGTAAAGACCAAAAAAACCCACTTTTCTGCTTGAAAATGTGCGTTTCACAAAAAGGCTGTTTTCTCCAAATCTTGGTCAGGAAACAGCATTTTGTGTGAAAGTTACCTATGTTGCACTCTCAATTGCTAAAAAACTAAAAGGGTTAGAAACTTACTTTTTTTTTTTTTTTTTTAAATGAAAGCCAAGGGATAGAGCTTTCATTTGATATGTTTCATACTTGTTTCAACCAAGGGCTCACATTTCTATGCGGTTCGGAAAAACATTAAAAATGTCCAAAATCTCTGGCAGTATGAGGGATGCTGCTTTTTAAATGGCTGGCAGTGAATGAGTTAATAATAATATTATTATTATGAATCTTTATTAAGAACACATTACAATACAGTCCAAAGTTAAAAGAAAGTATCCAATACACACATAAATATTGGTATATGCAATATACTGTGTGTATTGGATATTTTATATATATATATATATATATATATATATATATATATATATATACATATATTTAAAAAAATTGTCCACTCACCTTTGGCCCTCCGCGGGCGGGTATCCCTCTCTAAGCTCGGGTCCTCTACCAGAGGCCAGGGAGCTTGAGGGTTCTGCGCAGTATCTTTGCTGTTCCTAGCACTGCACATTTCTGGACCGAGATGTCCGAGGTTGTTCCGGGGATCCGCTGTAACCACTCTTCTAGCTTCGGGGTCACTGCCCCGAGTGCACCGATCACCACGGGCACTACTGTCACCTTTACCCTCCAGGCCCTCTCCAGCTCCTCTCTGAGACCTTGGTATTTCTCAAGATTTTCATGTTCCTTTTTCCGGATGTTACCATCGCTTGGAATTGCCACGTCCACCACCACGGCTGTCCTCTGCCCTTTGTCTACCACCACAATGTCAGGTTGGTTTGCCATTACCATTCGGTCGGTCTGTATCTGGAAGTCCCACAGGATCTTTGCACGCTCATTCTCCACCACCTTTGGAGGAGTTTCCCACTTAGACCTTGGGGTTTCCAGCCCATACTCTGCACAGATGTTTCTGTACACTATGCCAGCCACTTGGTTATGGCGTTCCATGTAGGCCTTCCCTGCCAGCATCTTGCACCCTGCAGTTATGTGTTGGATCGTCTCAGATGCCTCTTTGCACAACCGACACCTTGGGTCTTGTCTGGTGTGGTATATCTGGGCCTCTATCTCTCTGGTGCTCAGGGCCTGCTCCTGTGCAGCCATGATGAGTGCCTCTGTGCTGTCCTGTAGGCCAGCCCTTTCTAGCCATTGGTAGGACTTCATGAGATCACTACTGTTATGCTCCGGTGGTACATGCCGTGTAGGGGCTTGTTCTCCCATGATGGGCTCTCCTCCAGCACCTCCTCATCTCGCCACTGCCTGAGACATTCACTGAGTACGTCATCCGTTTTGGCCTTCTCCATGATGTAGTTATGGAGTTTGGATGTTTCGTCCTGGACAGTGGCTCTCACACTCACTAGTCCTCGGCCTCCTTCTTTACGGCTTACGTACAGTCTCAGGGTGCTGGATTTGGGATGGAACCCGCCATGCATGGTAAGGAGCTTTCGAGTTTTAACATCCGTGGTCTGAATCTCTTCCTTTGGCCACCTGATTATTCCTGCAGGGTATCTGATCACTGGCAGGGTGTAGCTGTTAATTGCCCGGGCCTTGTTCTTGCCATTGAGCCGGCTTCTTAGGACCTGCCTTACTCGCTGGAGGTATTTGGCAGTTGCCGCTTTCCTCGTCACCTGTTCGAGGTTGCCATTTGCCTGTGGTATACCGAGATACTTGTAACTGTCCTCAACGTCTGCTATTGTTCCCTCTGGGAGTGAGATCCCTTCTGTGTGGACTACCTTGCCTCTCCGAGTCACCATCCTGCTACATTTCTCGAGTCCGAATGACATCCCGATGTCATGGCTGTAGATCCTGGTTGTTTGGATCAGAGAGTCGATGTCTCTCTCGCTCTTGGCGTACAGCTTGATGTCATCCATGTAGAGGAGGTGACTGATCTTTGCTCCGTTCCTGAGGCGGTATCCATAGCCAGTCTGGTCAATTACTTGGCTTAGAGGGTTGCTGGAACAGCAGTATCACAGAGAGGGACAGGAAGAAGCTGGACAAGGTCATCAGGAAGTCCAGCTCAGTCCTGGGCTGTTCCCTGGACACAGTGCAGCAAGTGGGGGACAGGAGGATCCTGGCCAAACTAACATCTATGCTGGACCATGACTGTCACCCCCTGCAGGACACTCTCTCTGCTCTGGAGAGCAGCTTCAGTGACAGACTAATTCACCCTCTCTGTGTGAAGGAGAGGTTTCGCAGGTCTTTCCTTCCTGCTGCTGTCAGACTGTACAACGAGAATGTGTAACAGGAACTGCTGAGTCTGCACAAGTGTCACTGATAATTCACTAGTAACTTTGTCACTAGTCACTTTACCTGTTATCAGTACTACTACAGTATTACATATCTGATATTTACTGTTATATCAGTACTACTGTATTATTTCATATCTGATAATTCTGCCTTTCACCGTCACTTTA